ATAACACAAATTTTCCATTTTTGCTTTTCAATTATGTTACATGATATTTGACCAAATAATCTGTATAATATAAAAATAACAAAATAACGCCTTATATAATTGAATAAAATTAAAATAACTAATATAGACTAAAAGATAAAAAATTTAATAATAATAATGAATATCCATATTATGAAGTAGTGAATAGAAAGGATTTAGGGAGATGAGGGATATAAAAGTGACAAGCCTTTTGACTTAAATATGTTGCACATTAAAAATATTTTGTTTTTGGCTCTGACATTCAAAACCAAGTTAAAAGTAAATTTGGAGAACTCTCAGATAAATGTTAGAAGAATTAAAACCCGTTACAATGCCTTCCAGAATAGAAGGTGAAAACAAAGAAAATATAGACAAAAATAAGATGAAAGTTTTCAAAAGAGAAAGAATAAAATAATATGACAGAAATTAGACGAACCATAAACAACAAATGCAATGGATGACTTCTTAGAAAAACATAAAAGTGGAACTGATTCAAAAAGCAATAGAATATCTAAATAGTCTAATCACTATTGGACAGTGCAACAGCTACAGATCAATCAATGTGATACACCACATTAACAAAATGAAGAATAAAAATCTCATGATCATCTCAATAGATTCAGAGAAAGCATTCAACAAGATACAGTATGCATTTATAACAAAAACTCTGAATAAAATGGGTATAGAAGGAAAGTACGCCAAAATAGTAAAGGCCATATATGACAAACCCACAGCTAATATCATACTCAATGGAGAAAAACTGAAAGCTGTCTCTTTAAGAATAGGAACCAGGAGCCAGCCCTGATGGTCTAGTGGTTAAAGTTCAGCATGCTCCACTTAAGCGGCCTACGTTCAGTTCCCTGGTGCGGAACCATACCACTCGTCTGCCAGTAGCCATGCTGTGGTGGCAGCTCACACAGAAGAACTAGAAGGACTTACAACTAGAATATACAACTATGTACTGGGGCTTTCAGGGGGAAAAAAAAGAGAGGAAGGTTTGCAATAGATGTTAGCTCAGAGTGAATTTTTCCCAGCAAAAAAAAAAAAAAAAAGAGAAGAACAGGAACAAGACAAGGGTTCTTACTTTCACCACCCTTATTTAACATAGGATTGGAAATCCTAGCCAGAGCAATCAGGCAAGAAAAAGGAATAAAAGGGATCCAAATTGGAAAGGAAGAAGTAAAACTGTGATTATTTGCAGATGACATGATTTTATATATAGAAAACCCTAAAGAATCCACCAAAAAACTTTTAGAAATAATAAATGAATACAGTAAAGTTGCAGGATACAAAATCAACATACAAAAGTCAGTTGCCTTTCTACACACTAACAACAAAGAAGCAGCAAGAGAAATGAAGAATACAATTCCATTTATAATTGCAACAAAAAGAAGAAAATACCTAGGAATAAACTTAACCAAAGAGGTGAAAGACCTATATACTAAAAATTATAAAACATTCTTGGAAGAAATAGAAGAAAACACAAAGAAATTGGAAAGATAGTCCATGCTCTTGGAATGGAAGAATTAACATAGTTAAAATATTCATACTTCCTAAAGCAATCTACAGGTTCAATGCAATCCCTATCAAAGTTCCCATGACATTTTTCACAGAAATAGAAAGAAGAATCCTAAAATTTATCTGGAATGAGAAAAGACCCCAAATAGCCAAAGGAATCCTGAGAAAAAAGAACAAGGCTGTAGGTATCACACTCCCTGATTTCAGAACGTACTACAAAGCTATAGTAACTAAAACAACAGCGCAAAAACAGACACACAGATCAATGGAACAGAACTGAGAGCCCAGAAATAAAACCACACATCTATGGACAGCTAATTTTCGACAAGGGAACCAAGAACATACAGTTGAGAAAGGAAAGTCTCTTCAATAAGTAGTGTTGGGAAAACTGGACAGCCAAAGGCAAAAGAATGAAAGTAGACCATTATCTTACACCATACACAAAAATTAACTCAAAATGGATTAAAGACTTGAATGTAAGACCTGAAATCATAAAACTTCTAGAAGAAAATGTAGGCAGTATGCTCTTCAACACCAGTCGTAGCAGCATATTTTCAATCACCATGTCTGACCAGGCAAGGGAAACATCAGAAAAAATAAACAAATGAGACTACATCAAAGTAAAAAGCTTCTGCATGGCAAAGGAAACTATTAACAAAGTGAAAAGACAACCTAACAATTGGGAGGAGATATTTGCAAAATACATGTCTGATAAAGGGTTAATATCCAAAATATATAAAGAACTCATATATATCTCAACAACAAAAAACTACCAACCCATCTGAAAAATGGGCAAAAGATTTGAACAGACATTTTTCCAGAGAAGATATACAGATGGCCAACAGGCCCATGAAAAGATGTTCAACATCACTAATTATTAGGGAAATGCAAATCAAAACTACAATGAGATATCACCTCATGCCCATCAGAATGGCTATAATTAACAAGACAAGAGATAACCACTGTTGGAGTGGATGTGGAGAAAAGGGAACTCTCACACACTGCTGAGGGGAATATAAATTGGGCATCCACTATGGAAAACAGTATGGAGATTCCTCAAAAAATTAAGGATAGTGCTACCATATGATCCAGCTATTCCACTGCTGGGTATTTATCCAAAGAATGTGAAAACATGAATGTGTAAAGATATATGCACCCTCGTGTTCATTGCAGCATTATTCACAATAGCCAAGACTTGGAAAGAACCTAAATGCCCATCAAGGGATGAGAGATGTGGTATGTATACACAATGGAATACTACTTAGCAATAAAAAAGGATGAGATCTTGCCGTTTATGACAATATGGATGGACCTTGAGGGTATTATGCTAACTGAAATAAGTGAAAGGGTAAAAGTCAAATACTGTGTGATCTCTCTCACAAGAAGAAGATAAAAGCAACAACAACAACAAACTAACACATAGATACAAAGATTAGATTGAAGGCTACCAGAGGGGAAGTGGGGAGGGAGAAGGGCAAAAGAGGCAACAGGGCACATGTGTATGGTGATTGGTGATGGATGGTAACTAGTCTTCAGGTGGTGAACATGATGTAGTCTACACCGAAATTGAAATAAGATGATGTACACCTGAAACTTACATAATCTTATAAACCAATGTTACCTCAATTAAAAAAAAAGCAATAGAATGTCTAAATAGTCTAATCACCATGAAAAAAGAGAGAATATGGTCAATATTACCTCCCCAAAGAACTCTAGGGCATATAATTTTATGAGCTAGTTAATTTAAAACACTATAAACTATTACAGGATATATAAAAAGGTGGAAATTTCTGTGTTATTTACCAAGCTAGAATAGCCCTAAATCTGACTACGGCAGTATACTGAAACTTACAAACCAACCTCATTTATAAATACTAATGCAAAATTCTGAAAAATACTCTCTGCAATGGTCTATTAAATATACTACAGAAACAAAAATAAATTCCATGCAAATTTAGAATTCAATTTATTATATTTTTCATAGTGGCTAACTGAAATAATAGAAATTCTGAAACTATTGTTGTAGTTTAGAGTTGAGCAAATGAGTTAATACACTGTGAGAGAAAAGAGACATAAATATTGACTGGAGGAAGACAAGGAAGAAGCTTGTTGTGTCGGATGGGAGTTACAGGTTTACAATATTTCTATATCATAGGTATATGACCCTTATCGAGGAATGTGCTTTGTTCTGGGATTGGGAGAATTGCTAACTTGTGCCTACCTGGATCTCAGAATTGCTGTGGACTAGTGATTGCTATGTTCTTCCCATTTCCCCCTGTTTGAATGCAAGTCTCTACAGTATTTATTCAGTCCCTGTGTCATCACTGAATGTTGAGAGTGAGGGAAGCATAACTTGTCTTTCAGTTCACAAATCTCTGGTTCTAGAGGAGGTGCCCCTGAGAAGCTGCACCCAATGAAACACACCCAAGGAACCATATCTGATCTGAACCTGATTTAGATGATGAGGTCCTGGACTTTGCTCCAATGGTGCAATGAGCAAGGCTTCTTGGGTGGGAGGTGAGTGGCCTTTGCATGTGGGAAGGATATGAATTGTTGTGGCCAGCGGGTGGACTATGGTAGGGTATTTCTGAAGATGGTGGCAACATGTCTTCCAAAGCTCCTTTGAAATACGACTTTGCCACTCATCCCATCAAGAGGTACAGTCTATTTTCCTTCCTTTTGAATCTGGTCCCTGGACCAACAGTATGGGGCAGAAGTGATAGGGCGTAAGCATGAATGGGCTTACTCAGCACCATGTGGAGCTCAGATAAGGCATCCTCACTGAGCACTGCCTGAATTCCTGACCCAAGGAATAGTGAGCAATAAAATGCTCATTCTTTTAAGTCACTAAATATTGGGGTCATTAGTTACACAGCAATAAATAGCTAATGCACTATCAAAAAGAGCTGGGATCATTTCAAAGCAACTCAGGAGCACACTTGAAGAGACTCAATCACTGAAGGTGGGCAATTCAAGCAGCAATAAAGACATTAACTGAAACGGTGTGGAGAACATTAAATATATTTAAATCCATGAGTTCAAGACACTTTAGAGAAAAACAATACCTCCCTGGTCACCTTTAGAGGCTATTAGGGAACAAACTCATTATTTTGAACACCGTTAAATAAAGAAGCCAGCATCTATCCTGCCTTTCCTATACAAATTGTATTTCAAGGTAACCAAATATTGTTGGTTACCTTGCCCATCTTCCTCTATTTTGTACGTGGGATGCCACTACAGCATGGCTTGATGAGCAGTGTGTAGGTCGGTGCCCAGGATCTGAACCCGCAAACCCTGGGCTGCTGAAGCAGAGCACGTGAACTTAACCTCTATGCCACTGTGCTGGCCCTGAGGTATAATTTTTTATATTAAAAAGGAACAATAAAAGGAAGTAGAAGGTGTGATGGTGATACGAAGGGCCTGGGTTTGAGTCAAGAGGGCAGCCAATAACATCCCTAACTCACTGGATGGCCAGGGTCACACCATCTGGATCCTGAAGTTGAGGTGCCTCCGTCCTTCCAGAACAGGGTCAACCATTCTGGAAACCATTCTCATTTATGAAAAATAAGCACATCTTTGAGATCCTTTTCAAATTCTGCCTCTAAATCCAGTCCTACCTGACCAAAGCTGGAAGCCTGAAAGAGAAAAAAGCAAATAAAGAGAGGTCTAAGGACAAAGGATTAGGACCATGAAATCACTGGTAACTTTTAGAATCCCCACCCTTCCCTCCCCGAATGCCGTGTTTCCCCAGCAGTGAGACAGAATGGATGGGAGATGCTCCTGTTACAGTATTGGAATGGACGAGACCAGCCTGGTTGTTAACTTGGACCTGACAGGTGGTCTGGACTGAAGGGTTGATTTTAATTGCTACAGAACCCGAACTTGGTGCAAAATAGATAAAGAAAAAGCATTTCTTTAAAGCCCATTCTTGAAGGAAGGATGACCCTCCTGTTCTCCAAGGATAAGACTGTGCCATTGAGGGGATCCCTGGCTCAAATTCTTTCTCTCCCCAGCTCCACACGTGGACACCATGAACATGCCAACGTGTGGCATGGAGGAAGGGAGGGAGGCTAGGTGGAGATGAAAACCTTCCTTAGATACCCCCACCAGGAAATATCTGTATAAGAGTGAAAATCAGGATAAACTTCAGAAATTAAAGTTAAGAATGTCTTAAATTGCAAGCTAGCTAGTTGTCTCTCCTTCCTATCGAAGGATGAAGCCAACACTACCTCAGCGCAATTCCGGATGTTTAAGTCCACTGGGAAATTGAGGTGTGACAAAATCCCAGCATGAGCATCCTGGAAGTTTAACTTATTTTGTTTAATTAATTCATTGACTTCTGTATTTCTTAGGCACGAAGAACAATAGAAGCGTGAACTGCCCTTCCTTCCAGTTTGAACAAGGAGGCAGGACGAAATTGATCTCAGCGGGGGAGCCGCCTACATGGGGACGGAGGATGGATTTTTTTTCAGGTACCATTTACAAGGATCCTTCCTGTCCTGCTTGTTGTTCTTTCTGACATCCTCCTCTCCGCCCCTGGAATGCAGAGGCAGTTTTCTTCTGTAATCCTTGTCTTTTTGAGCCCTCTCCAGGAAGAGACTGGGTACAATTCTTGCAAAGTTCTGCTGTCCCAGAAATTAGCGGACAGTAGAAAGGAAGTGAAAAGGAAGCAGGAAATGCCTTTTACCTTGTAAAATGTCTTATGGTTGCGAAAGATCAGGCGCATGTCCCGTACAAACCATTCCACTGTGTATATCTTCTCAGTCAGCCTTTCCTTGACCAGGTCCAACCACATGGCTTCCTTGAAGGGCTCACCATAATCTCGAATCTAGGGACGAAGCCACCAAAGGGTGATGTTAGCAGCCACCGCAACTGGAATGGATCCAACTGAAATACAATACAAGGCTTTATTTCCAGGGTAATAATGATAATAACACCTGACATCTATATACCAGGCTTTGTTCTAAACACCACCAATGTGTTAACATGTGAGCTCCACAACAACCCTTTGAGACAGCAACTGTAATTACCCCCATTTAATAAATGACGTGACTGAAGGATGGAGAGGTTAAGTAACCTACCCAAGATTTCACAGCTAAATAGTGGTAGAGCTGGAACTTGAACCTACAGTTTGGCTTCTGAGTCTGTGCTCTAAACTATATGTTATCTGGTAGAAAGACATTCCCACCTAAGAGAAGGGGAAACTGAGACCTGTGGGAGGTGAAGCAACTGCCTGGTGTCCCAGAGCTAGTACACAGTGGGGTGGAGTTTAAACCAGGTGGTCCCACTCCACGGTCTGCAGCTAAACCTTCTGCTCTCTGCACACAGTGGCAACCACAGGACTCATACTCCAAATTTCTAGAGTTCTACATAGGAGAGATGCCCAGGGGATGAGAATCATCAAATATGACTTACATTACATGGAGTCTCTGCAAAAAAGGAGCTTTGTGGATGACAGTAGGCCTTCAAGAGGAGGAACTCACATTTCTGTAAAATGTGAATAGGGCTTTAAAGTGAAATACAGCTCGGAGAATGTGAAGCCAGGCCTGGGCCTGGACACACGCAAACAAGAGCAGCCAAACACAGCCAGCCTTCCAACCACGTTTGCCAAAGAGCCATGGGGTCGGTCGGATTCTGTTAGGACGCGATGTTGGGCACTGAATCACCAGCCTCTGAAGCAAGACGCCAAAGGTTCCCTGTTTGATTCTCACATGTGAGGGGAAAGGAGAAAGCTTGGTGTTCACACCCAACTCACCAACTGCTCCTCAGGCCGCATCCTTCTCGCCAGCACCTCAGATTCCCTGTGACACTGCTGGCTTCCTGAAGACTCCCTCATCCTGCAGAAGGTGCAACTCCACGGGCTCCTGAGAGGTTGGGCATAAGTGAGCAAGGGCAAGGCCCCTGGAAACAGCCACTGTTCCTATGGCTGCCACTGTCCTTCTTTCAGGAATGGCCTATAGACACAGATGGAGGACAAAGGGGACACCTGCTGGATTCTCCAAGCACCCCATGTGAGGTCTGAGCCGATGACCTTCCTTCCATCGAGGGAGTTAGCAGGGGGTCAGCGGGTGGAGGATGGTGTCAGGGTGAGTGGTGGGCCCTCCTTTCCCCGTCTGAGCTGCTGGGAGCACAAGGAGCCTTGCCCACCATGCCTAAGTACTGGAAACTGGGCCTCAATCCCTGGGGGTCCCAGGCCTCCATCAGCCTATTGAGACTGTGGTGAAATGCAAGAACCAGGCCACGTTTCCTGCTTTTTCTGAACAGGCGTAGAACACAAACAACTGGTATTTTCTGTCCCCAACCCCCTTGGGCAGTAGTCTGCAAACCTAGGAAAGGATATCTCTCTGGGACGGTGGCAATGTGGGGGTCCAGATGGCCCAGCTGCAGACTCAGAGACCCAAGACTGTCAGTGATCCCAGATGGAGCAAAGGCTGCCACCCCTTAGGCTGCTCTGGGCCCCACCCACACCCACGATGCTCATGGTCCCGCTCTTCCTTCTGGAGACAAGGAACCAGACAGGGAGCCTGCACAGGGCATGCGTAGACGTGGGGCTGGTCTCACTAACCTCTCAGCCTCTGCAGGTGGGATGTGACAGTCCTCATGAAAGGCTCTCAGACAAGTGTCACAGCAGAGCAGTGGTCCCCCTCTACAGCACACCTCACATTCCTTGGAGTTTTCCCGCTAGAAGGGGAGATAATGTGGGCATCGCTAGGATCAGCGAGACCCACCGAATGCTGACGCTGCGGGGCTCAGGGAGACGCCGTCCCTGTGTGTTCCCAAGTGGACGCTTTCAACCCCACTGACCATGGCCCTCGTGGAGAATGTTGAGGGAGGACCAGCCTGGCCTTTCACTTGGAAGAGCAGGTGGCAAGAATCGTCAAGGCTCCACCTGAACCACAGACTGTCAGAGCCAGAAGGGACTGGAAGGTCATTTAAGCCCTTTTCACATAAAGTGTGGTCTGAGGACCAGCGGCACCAGCATCATCTGGGAACCGATTAGAAACACAGACCTACTGAATTGAAACCCACATTATAACAGGAGCCCAGGTGATTTTTAAGTACATGAAATTTGAGAAAACATAGCTTTGGTCAACTCCCTCATTATACAGGCCTGCAAAGATAAAAGACGCTTTTTTTTTTTTTTTTTTTTTGCATCAAAGAAACGTAGTATCTGAGCCAGACTGGCACCAGGCTGCCCGTGCCTGGGTTCAGAGACGCTCCATCCGTTGCGTGCCATCCCAGGTGAGCATGTGGGCAGACTCACAGAACAGTGCCTGATGTTACGGCTGACAAACAGAAAGAAAGATTCACAACCACAGAGAGCTGCTGGGTGAATGGGTCATTTTGAGGGCCTGAGAAACCACATGGGTCTTTCTCGCAGCCTTAAAATGTGATCCAGTAAATTCTACAAGTGATTTATGTGAGAAACACAATCTTTACTGCCGGATAAAGACCCACAGGCGGGAGCACCCAGTTCCACTCCCGGCCCCACCAGACAAACAGTGTGGGGCTCCACACGCACAGGGAGCGTTTTCTCTGCACTGAAGGTAGGAGGCAGGAAGAGGCATCCTTCTGCCTGTGCCCGTCTGCAGCACTACCCCTCCAGATGGATGGTGGGTGGTGAAAAGGAGGGAACTAGACCATCGGGAGCTGGAGAAAGGATTGAAGGGGCTGGGAATCAGTCACTTCTAAGGAGAGAAACTCTAGTACTACCCTCAACTGTTCATAACAAGCAGGAGGACCTGGGGGAGGGCAGAAGGGATGGAAATGTTTTGTCCAGTCTCAAAACTAGCCACTCAGCCAGAGTAAAAATTCCCCTTGATCTGGGGACAGTGCTCATCTCTGTCTCAACTGGGAAGGCTTCTTGGGCCCCAGGGCTTCATAAGGAGGGCTCCTCCAACTCTGAAGTTCAGGGCATCTTTCTGGCCTTCCCATCCTGAACTCAGCTTTCCATCCTGAACTTGCAGATATGCCCTTCTTTGTCCTTGGGGCTGACATTCTATGGCCATTCTTGCCCTCTGACTGGACACTTGGCCTTCTCTCGTCCAGGGTACAGAGGCCAGTTCCCCAGGTAGCCAGACCTACCCACTCCTCCTGGTTGAGACCCTGGTTGGATCCAGAGCCCTGAGCCCCCACCCCCATGATCTAGAGGGGAACAGTTTCCAACCCTCATGTTATGCCAGAGAAATGATAGAGAAAGGACATACAACCCGAAAAGATAGAGAAAGGGCACAGAGCTCCACAATCACGTTCTGTAACAGAGTCTGACTCTGGATTTTACGTTTAGTGCTGACAGCTTCCAGCCCCACCTCTTTTTCTTCCCTTCTTGCCACATCTGGGCAAGCTGATAAGAAAGCTCATGAGCTCCCTCCCGCGGCCCCAGTGAGAAGTTCAAACCAGACAGGCCCGGCCCCAGCAAGGGACTCCTCACCTTGGCCCCACCCTTAACCATAATAAAACCTTAGGCTACTCCCTCTCTCCACGCAAGCCATTTCAGACCAGCTTGGGTACCTGCCCTGCTCTCCCCAGAAAGCCTCAGTCTGTGAGTAATAAATCTTTTCATACTCTCCTGGCTCACATGTTGCATCATCAGTTTTGATATCTGAACCCATTTTTTGATGGAGCACTGATCCCACTTCCCTGCAGGCAACCACAAGACAATGGGCTCAGCACGCATGGAGTCTAGATGGCCACCACTGCCAGGGTCTTTCTTTTCTTGCTTTGGTTTGCTCAGTGGCTCTGCTGCCTGCTGGCACTTGCTTTGAGTTGTGTTACTGCCTGCTGGGCCACAGCACTGAGGTTTCAGTAATTCACCATGAGGCACCTTTCCTTCTTTTCAAGTTTAAGAACAGGTCAAATTGGGAGGTTAAATGGAGAAACAAAAGAGAGAATCACTCCTGCTCTAAATGGTGCTTGTATAATGAATTTCAGTCCTTGAAGGCCCTGTTTGAATTTATTCTGGATTCTATAAACTATTTTAACAGAGGGGAAGGTCCATGGGTTCCATTTTATAAAGCTGATTGTAAGTGCTAAAGATTTAGTTTTATTTTAATTTATTATTCATTGGGTCAGATCAGTCACGCTCACTATGGAATATTTTAGGGCAATGGGTGTTATGAGCATGGGGCATTTAGATAAGGCAACAATTTCAATGGTCAAGGTGAGGTATACCTGTCTGTCCTCTATTTTATGTTTGGTAATTCCCCTAAATTATAGACGGTACTTTGTTTGAATTTAGTGGGATACAATTATTCGCCAAGGAGCCCCACCCATTAAAGTCTCTATACCCAATATTATTGAAATTACTGACGCCATCCACTTAGTAACTGGTAAATAATTGGCTGTCACAGATTTCACTAATACGTTCTGTTGAGTGCCCATCTCAACAGCATCTCAGCTGCAGCTTGCCTTCACCTCTGTGGGGATACAAAATATGGCTACCTGGCTTCCGTGAGGTACCTCAACAGCTTTGCCACTACACTCAGTCTCTGCAGGCAAGATCCTAACTGCATCCGACTTTCCCAAGGAGCACAGGGACGACACCACACCGATGACACCCTTCTCACTTGACATACTCATTAAGAAGATACAATTACTCACAAAGGAGCTCACAAAAAGGGATGAGCCATCGCCCCAAACATAATACAAGCCAGCTCGGCAAGTTCTGGGCAATATTTGGTCAATTGAGGGCTGTTCCATCCCCGACACTGTCAAGAAACAATTACTGACCCTCTCAATACCCGCAACAACCATCCAGTGTTTCTTAGCCTTTTGAGTTCTGGAGGTGACATCCTCCTCATTTACAGATTGTACTTATGCCCATTTAAACTGATACTTACAAATAGGCCCACTTTGAATGGGGCCCCTCCAACAAAAGGCTCTAGAATCTATCCAAAAAAATTTTAAAAACCAAAAAGCAAAAACCATCTTCCTCAGTCCAACACTACACCATTAGAACAGCAACTGCTGGTTGCATACTGGGTCCTTCTGGAGATGGAGCCTCTCACAGGCCCTGAGCCCAGGACTCTCTGTACCGGCTGTCCATTTTGCCTTGGGTCATGAGAGAAGCACCCTGCAGGGCAGTCACGAAACACATATTTGGAGTATCAGCATCAGGTCTCTTGATGGTACACACATACAAAGCTGGACACCAATGGAGACTGGGTTTATTGCAGGGCAGCACTGCCGTATTGGATAATGTGGCCTACATTGGGCAATTTGTAGTCAGAACTGAACCTCATTCTCATTATGCCAATGTGGCTTCTGATGGCTGGGACTGAAAGGTCAGGTCAAATGTGCCCCTGGCTATCATGTGCTAACACGTGGCGTTATGAGTAAGAAGGAACTATCATATTGGGGCCATTAATTAATGATCTGGACTTTAAATATCTTTATTGTTCTTTTTTTCCGGTTACAAAAGTAATAAATGACCATTATAAAAATTCCACCTGTACATAAATGTGTAATATGGGAGGCAAACGTCCCCTGTAATCCCATCCTGGAATAACCAATTCTTTCAGATATTTTTTTCAGTCATAGACCTACGTATTCACATAAACACAATTGGGCTCCTTCCATATATATATTACTACCAGGTTAAGCTTCCTGAAGCTTTCCTGATCTCAAAATCCTTGAGTGGTTTTCCATTAATTGAAGGATGAGTCTACACCCATGAACCCATCCATTTAAAAAAATACCATTCTGTAGACATATCAGTTTATTTTATAATACCAATGGATATTTATATTCTTCCCTAACTTTTTGCTATTACAAGGAACATCCTTGTACATATCAACGTGTTTCAAATCAGCATGGAAAAGATGGTTTACACAATAAACAGAATTGAGGACCATTGCTTTATCAACTTTGAATGAATCCAGCCAAGGGGCAGGCCAGCCTTCAGGGCAAGATGGGAGAGGAAGCGTTGCCTCTGCTGGAGGTTCACATCTAACAGGAAGCTCATGAATGGGACTTGTGTCTGGAGCACGTATCTAAGCACATAAAGAAGGGTGAGGAGGAACAGCTGGTGCAGCCAATGGATGACTGCCATTTTGACCTGGAGGGAGGTGCTGCAGAGACAAAGCTCAGTTCAAACAATTGTTCCATTCTGCTGCTACTGATAGTGAGCATGTTGAATTGAGGTATACTTAATGTTCAACCAAGGATGATCTTCTCGCCCTTTCACATACTGTTCTTGTCTATTTCAGTACCATATTTGCTTTTCAAATCAGAGTACTCTATTTCTGACACTTTTGGTTTGTAATCATCCAAACATCAAGGTCTTTTTCTGAAACACGTGTACATCATTGGCTTTTGTTCTAATCTTTGTTTTAAAGAGTTATTTGCTTCCCCATCTCAAGTTAACTATGAACATAATGGCAGCATGTACATGTACCAGTGTGCTACAGTAGTCGTCAGGAAGATGCCGTGCCTAAATGTGAAGGTGACTCAGGGCTGCGAAACTCGAGGACTTGAAGGCAAGCCTTTGGACACGGCAAGTCTGCGACACGGTGACTGAGAATGTGGTAGAAATTCACCTGCTATTTACCTCTCTCTTGAGACTTTTTCTTGAAGGACAGTGCAAAAGCCTTTTCTGAAAGAGAGAAGGGGTGAGTGAAGAGGTTATTCTGGAGGCTCTTCTCTTGTAAATATTGAAGTTCCCACTTCCTAGTGAGTACTGGTACCTGGGCATCCTAATGGGTCTCAAATCTAAGAGGTCTCAAAGAAAAATTGGCTCCTCCCTCCTCCAGTCAGTTCTTCTACTGGACTTCGGTTAAAGATAAAGCCATTTTTTTCTCTGTTACTCAAACCCAACACCTGTTAGTTCTTCTTTCCCACCCACTCCTTTTCCTTTCCATTCTCTCTAGATAAAATGCTTATAATTTCATCCCAGTGATAATTTTTTGAGTATTACCAAGAGACTTTATGTTGGGTTCTGGGATCACAAAAACTAACACTCTTGCTCATTGCTCTGAGGATGGAATAGTGTGCTGTGGAAGTGCAGAGGAGAGACTGACCATGGACAGAGTGGCTTGGAAAGGCTTCACCAAGGAGTCCAGATGGAGCAGGGTCTTGAGGAGGCTTTATCTGGTGGGGGACCCAGGGAAGCTGCTGGGGGGGTCTATGTCTTCATCTAGTTTCCTTCCATCCCACACTACCCAATATCACCAAGCTGAGGCTTCTTAACTCTCTCCTGACCTCAAAACTCTTGCTCACACTCAAAGTTCTCCACCATCGGCACCAATATGTGTTCCTAACTTTATCACCCACAACTTTTTTCTATGAATGTTTACCCCTTTTCAATCATGCTGTTGAATTGTAATGGGAATTTCTTCAGACTTCTGTTATTGAAATTCCACTCATCCTTCAAGGAAATAAACTCATCCCCTATCTGTTTTTTGTCATCATAGTACCTTCAGCAGCTGTTCTAGAGTCTTTCCTCCGCAATGCACACTCCGCTTCCAGTTCTTTGAAGGCGCCCGTTTTCCTTCAGCTTCAAATTCTTTTGGCGTGAACCAAACTCCCTTCTCATTCTGAATGCACTTCTCTGAGGCTCCTGTAAGATAAAGACAGCCCCTTCCAGGATTCATTTCTGTCCTCTGTGAATTCATCCCAAACCTCCCAACCCCTAATCGTTGTGTTCCACCTTTCTGGGTCCAGAGAGACTCCTGGTGAGGTGGGAGCAGTAGCAGGGGAGTGTGGAGTCCTCCTCTCTCAGATTGAAAGAGGGCCCTAAAACCAGCATGAATGGCGAGCGACTGGGAGAGAATATGCAATTTACGTGACATCTACATGTGGCAAGGACATGGCGATCAGTGTCATTGGGCCCATAGACAACTTCCATGTGGGAACGGAGTGGCCTGGCTGCCAGGTGTACCACGATGTGGAAAAGTTGGAAAGTTCCTCCTTAACAAGTGCTTTCTCTTTTTTTCAGCAGCCTAGCTTGTGGAGTCCATTTCCTGAACAATTACATGCGAGGGTATTTTTCTCCCTTCTGGTGATTCCTTCATCTAGAGGTTCCAAAGAGTAGAAGATCGAGGAACTCACCTTGTTCCAGTTTCTCCTTATATAAGATCCCTTTTGCCTCACCACAGGTCACAGGAAGTTCAGAAGAGTGAAAATCCACAGTTTCATCTTCAAGTTGTTCTGAAAGTAGAAGAGTTTAGAATTACTCAGTCTTCATTCTCTCTCCCTCATGAATTCTCCTTTCCAAGAATTCTAATAATAGTAATGATAATAACAATATCAATAATGCAAATGGCATAGGCAAGCTTTCTCCGGTTAATTTGCAGGAAGTCTTCCATTTTGAGTGGGAGATTAGATATATGTGTAGGGTGGTCACTAATAAACAAAACCAACACCACCACCACTACATCGAACAAAACATTTTACGTAAAGCATATGGGGCTTCTTTGGTGAATGTGCTCTAATTCACAAGCTAACTGGCCATCACCTAAGGATCGTTTATTCCATCAGCATCCTGCTTATCCCTCTGTGGCAATGGAAGTTGCCTGCCCCAAACATTTCTTTGTGTCCATGTAGCTGGAGAAAAAGTCCTCATCTATGATCTTACTGCCTGATTCAAACCAAGGCAAAGGTAAATGAGGTGGTTAGCATTGAGGGGATGGCGTCAGTTTTCATTGTTTGCTGTCCTTTTTCATTTTATGGCTTCCCTGTTTCTTCTTCTAAGAATAAAAGAAAACCCTGAAGAGCTCGAGACTAATCTGGAAATTGCACATGGAGAGATTTGGCCACTGAGAACCCCTGAGTAGAGGTGTGGGGTTCTGATTCGGGAGAAACAGCTGTAAAAGGGTTTAAAATAAGTACAGGCAATTCCTGCTTTCCCTTTCCCAGCCTCATCGTGGATGAATTCATTTAGGGCAGACTGCAGGAGCTGTTTCTTGAGGGCGAACGGAAGGGCTGTCCATGGCTTATGCTGATGATAGAGGATGTTACATCTGGAACGAGGCTAGGAGAACATCTTGTCCAACTGACTCTCCTTTGCCTCAAACACTTATTGAAGGAGCCAAAGAAAAATGTATGAGATAGCAAGAGCATCAGTGGAAAAAGAACAGAGCAGCATCAGTGGCAAAGAAGTCACTAGCTACTCTGGAAAGATATAAACTAGACAGAGTCAGATTGAGACAGCAGAGATCCCTGAGAAGTGAGGGTATGGCTTCTCCCACAGAATCCCGGAGGATGCCCAGCCCTGCAGGACCAGGGACTATAGGCTAAGTAGGAAGAAGGGGTGGGAAGACCTTTGTTACAACAGCTGGCTGGTGCTCTTGCGTGGGGTGGCCAGCTCCACCACTTGTCTCCAGACTCTGCCCACTAAATATGGCCCAGTGGATGAAAGCACAGCCATGGGAGGCAGACTGTGTGGGCTTGTGATCCTGGCTCTGCAACGTATTAGTGAGGTTCCGTAAGTGTGTATTATTGTTATCAAAGTTGAGTGGGGGCTTTGCCACTGCAGCTTCCTAACTTGGCTGACAATGTAGAGCCACGGGTAACTCTGGACCATTATTGCAAACCCCAAGGGGGGTTAGCATGACAACGGGGACCTTCCATAATTCTCTGCCTCATGGAACTGTCTTCTCTAATTCCCTGGGGTAGGTGTAGGTCCAGTGAACACAGATGTCCCATACGTGCTCGCAAGCAGATGCGGGAGTAGTGGGTGGCTTTGGGAGCTGCAGGCAGCAAGCCAGGGTGCAGAGTCGTGGGCAGAAGGGGCACTACCTCCTTTAGCTTGTCCAGGCAGCTCACCGAGTCAGGCAGGACCTTGTGTCCTGAGTATTTCTGAAGTCACTGCCCTGCCCCTAAGGGAGGGAGACAGCTTTCTGATCTGTTCCTCCAAATCCTGCATTTGGCTGAGCCCCACCTGCTCATCTCAGCGAACAGGGCTTTAAAGATGGAACCTTGAGAGGAAGGCCTGCTTGGAGCCCTCCGACATCTATCAGATCACCATTTATAAGTGTCAGCAAACAACAAGGAGCCTGCTATGAAAAGTGAGCAATTAAAGAACAAAGAGAGTTCGTGGAAATGGAAAGCCTGGTGGAGGAAATGAAAAGAAATATCTAACAGAGACAAGGAAGAGCAGAATGGAAAAAACCCAATTAGTGATGGGGAAGACCAACACCAGGAATTCTCACAGGACACAGGGAAAAGGCCCAAGGTGAAAACTGTGCCTGGAAAGACGTGGCCTGGGGGAAGATCTGGGAGCTCCATGATCTGTACAAGAAGGGTCTGTGGGGAGATGGTGTGGCCGGAGGAAAAGCAAGCCAAGGAATAGGAAAAGCAGCACACGCACTGTACCTTTATTTTCACAACAACCTGTAAGAAAGGGAAGGCAATGATGATGACCCGTATTTATAGACGGAGGACTCAGACTTGGATCTGGAGACGGAATTCCTAGTGGTCACCACACTGTATAAGGTGGAGCTGGCATTGAAATCCAGACGTGCTGGACTTCTAGTCAAGTGCTCTTCCCATAGCGTCAGAAATGCATCAACAAGATGCTACTTCATTTGGTCGATAACAGCACAGAGACGTCCTTCGTTAAACTAGAAGGCATGATGAGGGCTAAGGAGGCAGAAGAGGCTGATACTGATGAACAACTGTCAACATTCACTTGGACTCTTGCCTCCTACTAGTGTTTTCTAAAAAGACCAGGGGGTGTTTTTGTTTTTAGTGTAAAGAACAAAGGACTTGGTATTAGAACACCTGGTTTGATTTTAGCTCATGCAAGTCTTTTACGCTCTAACTGAATCCATAAAATGAGCTGAATAATACTTATCTGAGGACTATATGGCAAAATGTAGAAAAAAGTGCTTTTCCAACTGTAAAGTGATGTACATTCTTATATTGTTATCAGAGCCTCTGCAGATGGTTGCGTGGGTTGTGCACCGAACAAGGATTCCACCTTTCTTGGAGGTGGAGGGGCTCTGATTGACATCAGAGACCTCTATTTGTGCGCTTCTTACAACAATCTTCCAGCAGAGGGCAGCAAAGGCCTGGTTTCAGGAGTCAGCTCTACACATGCAGGGAAAGCGTGTTGAGAAAGGGGCGCTTTTTCTAGTTCACCTGAGCGCACTGCATGGGTGAATGGAGGCCCTGATCTTGGTGCTCATACTTGATGAAGAAGGATGAATAATGTATCGATCTGACAATCATGTAAGCACAAACTCCGCGAGGCACGGAGGAGACAGAGCAATGAGCAAGACCAACCCACTTACTGACCTCACTTGACTTGCACACAGTGAACAGGACGTACACAGACAGTTAATTACAGTTGTGAGAAGGGCCATGGAGAAAAAAATACCAGACTCCACGGAGGCAGGTCAGGGAGACCTAGCCTTGCCTGACGGGGCAGAGAATGCTGTGTTCAAGGTGAGGCCTGAAGACGTGTAGCAAGGGGAGTGAGGAGGATGAGGGAATTCCCTTTGGGGAGGGACTGTGTGTGGGGGACGGGGGGGACACACACTCAGGAGGGTCTGAGCAGGCAGGGGGCTGAAGCGTTCAGAGGCAAAGTGGCCTAGGCTTTGAGAATTTGATGGTGGCCCCTGGCCTGTGGGTAGGGATTGGAAAATCCACGTGGATTGTGTTCTGCTTCTTGACCTGGGTGCTGGGGATGTGAGGGATTTTCCCTTGTGTTAATTCCTCAAGCTGTACACTTATGGTATGTGCCTCCTGGGGTCACCGTCCTGCTCTCCTTCTTGCTCTTTCCTCTCCTCCTTCTCTTCTCGCATTTATTTTTCTTCTGCTTTTTAAACTTACTTCTTCAGCATTATCTTTTGGCACTCTCTCTGTCCTCTTTAGGCACCAGCCACATTGGCCTTTTTTGCCCCATTAAATTATTATTGAAGTCTAATAGATGCTACTCCAGGGTCTATAGACTGGTGCCATCTACAAGCCTGTTTGTTGCAGGTCTACAAAAATAAGGAACTTGTTGAAATAAGTCAGACGGAGAAAGCCAAATACTGTATGATTTACTCGTATGTGGAAGATAGAACAACAACAACAAACAAACACACAGATAAGGAGAACAGATGGGTGGTTACCAGAGCGGAACGGGGTGGGGGAGGGCGAAAGGGGTAAAGGGGCACGTGTGTATGGTGACAGATGGAAACTAGACTTTCGATGGGGAACACGAGGTAGTCTATACAGAAGTTGAAACATAATGATGTACATGTGAAATTTCTATAATGTTATAAAATAATGTTACCTCAACAAAAAAATAAATAAACCTGCTATAAACACTCAAAAAAAATAAGGAGCTTGCAAGTCAATGGTGACACTGAGCACACTGTTTTCATAGCAAGACCTCTCAGTGGGGACAGCAGTGTTTTGATTTCTATTCCGGTCAAGCTCCTGTCGCGTGGTAGGCTGGCCTGCTGAGTAGCATTGGTGCAACATGCTTACAGAAAAATGCATGTGTGTTTTCTTTGCCTTTGTTTGCCAAACATAGAAAAGGCTTGTTATTTCTGGTGTTGGTGAAGATGTAGGGGAAAGAGCACCCATTCCATATGGACAATGGTGCTCACATAAGACACATAAGGTGTGTAGTAGGATCTACCAACCAGGTGTGTGTAAGTTCACTCTATGATGTTCACACATTGACGAAATTGCCCCATTGTTAAGTGACACATAAATGTAATTACTCCTTTTCTTTACTGTGTGTAACTTTCTTTCTTTCTCCGCCAGACTCGCAATCTTCCTTCCTGTTTCTCTCTTTCCCCTTCAACTCCTCGTTTTGTTCATTAATTACAGGCGTATCGAGGGCAGGGGTTTTGTCTATTTTGCTCACGGCTGAGTCCCCAGGACCTAGGACAGGTGCTTGGCACACACCTTCACTCAATTCATCTTTGTTGAACTAATATATAACAGACAGATTTTTGAAAATATTAGGATCATGTTTTTTTCATCCTTATAAATGGTAATGCCCTACAGTTCCCTCATTATGAAATTGGTAACTTCCAGGGGAAAGGCAGTTACTGGCCAAAACCGAGAAGTCACTGCTCAGTTGAGACTGTTTTGGATATATTACACAAAATATTGAAACACAGAGTTTGTTGGGAGCAAAAGGGGATTTCTGAGTTACAAAAATTACCTTTAAATGCCAAAAGGAAAAGAAAGGCTTGGAGATCTGAAAGTCAAGTTTTCCTAGAAGCCACTGGTACAGAAAACTCAGCCTATGACGGAGTAAGTTTCCTCCAGCCAAGGAGGGCAATGGGGCTGGGAATTGAGAGGAAGAGACAAGGGGAGGAGAAGGGCATGCAAGGCGGTCTGAGTCCCCTCCCAGGTCAACCCCGAGGATTGAGGGGTGCTGGAAACAAGCAGGAAACTCAGAGGTGTCCAAAGCAGTGACACTCACGTCGTGATGCAGGTTTGGGAGCTGAGAGAGAGGCCCTCCCAGGTTGCCCCAGACCCATAAGGGCAGGAAATTCAAGAGAACCCCACGGACTGGCACACCTAGAACCACAGAAGAAGGAAGGAGAAAGGAGAGGGGAGAAGGAAGAGGGAGAGAATGCAAAGAAGAAGGAAAGTGTGATGAAGACCAAGAGAAATAAAACAGAGGAGCCAGAAAGATGCAGCTTCATAAACTGCTCTTTCCTCTGCTGCAGATAACACTGGTTTTGTGCATGCAGTAGATGCACGGTGAGCAGGCACTGGTTGGCTGAGGCAGTTTTGAATGCTCAGTGACTCCACGTCTCACTCCCGTTCGGGATCGGGAGTCTGAAGCCTGCCTGCCCATTCAGGTTTGCCTTGTCTGTTCCTCCTGGCTCTGATCCTGGACTGGACACAGTCCTAATCTGAAAGTGGACTGGTGCCTCCTGTCCACCCCCACCTCCACTCCTTCCCAGTGATAAGAGAAAAGATGCTTGTTTGAACCAGCATGGCATCTGGGTCGTCCTTCTTTCGTGAACAGGAGTCCTTTGACTGGGTGGCTTGGGGGCAGGGGTGGGGCTGCCGTGCTCCAGTGATACCCGGGTGGCCGTGTGGCTGGGGAGGAGGGCATGCTGGTTGGCCAAGTGATGACCCAGATGAGCACCGAGGCAGTAAGGACCTCGTGCTTTGTGCTTACCTCTTGACAGCCCTTTTTGTGGACTTGACTGGCTACATTTTTCTCTCATCTTTTCTAAAACAGAAAAAGAAAAAGTCATGTCTATGGCTATAAATATTGATCTACAAGCTTGAGATTCAATACCTTTAAGTAAATTTTTTACTGTCTTTCCATCCCTTTTGAAGGCAAGAAAACCATCTTGCCTTATCTGAAAAAAGTACTCCATTTTACTTGGAAAGAAAGAAGGACTTAATAAAGAAGTAACAGAGATATACTTAATTATTAACATTTAAAATATGCCACTTTCCAAATTAATAGCTAGTTTTTTCAAGACTAGGAGAAAATTTAGAGAAAGATTGTTACAAGCCATAAATATAAAATATTTTTTTAGCTGAAATTCAAAGCCAGAAATCATACAGGTAAAAAATGAACAGATTGACTATTTAAAAAATTATAATGTTCATACTTTGAAAAACATCCTTACAATAGCAACACAAAACAGAAAAATTTCAATATGTAACATTAGAAAGTTAATATTTTTAATAAATACAGCAAAAGATGATTAGTACACTAGGAAAGTGGGCAAAAACATAATTTGAAAATGCTCAAAGAGAAAATGCAAATGAAAAATTTATTTAAGAATCATCTTTAGACCACTAATAATCAAAGTTTTTGATTAGTTTGACTAATAATCAAATATATTGTTACAGGGAATGTAAACAATTACATTTTCTGCAGAACAGTTTATATAATATAATATATATAGTATATAATATAAAACTTAAGATATATAGACTCCGACCAAGTAATTTCACATTTAGAAATTAATTCTGAGGAAATTATAGGACAAGTGTGCAAAGATACAAACACAACCAAACACGATTTCCATTTTCATACAAAACCTGTAAATAACCGTCCATCAGTAGGTAGTTATTTAATTACATTGTGGTTAACCATACAATAATGCACTACGTAGCTAAAAGACAGGGAAATAGATAACATTGACATGAGATATGTGTGTTAAACACTAAAAGAAAAGCAGTTTCACTATTAAAAAGATGTGTACTCAAGGGCAGAAATCCAATAAAATTAATAACCTTTACTGGTTCATTAAGAACATTCTTATGTGCAACTGGCTTTTTTTTATGGTAAATGGTGGGGAAGAAATGCAATGACTACTCCTGAGTGTCAAGGACACTGCTCTGATTTGTACTAAGGCACCAGCAGTTTTACCTGCTGTGGGTCTTGCTCCATGTGTACAAAGGTCAACATAGAGAAAAAGGCAAATAACATCTTTTAATGAAGACAGTTTTGACCTTGAAGATCTACTGAAAGGGTTTCAGAGACACCCCCCAGGGGTTCCTAACCTCACTTTGAGCCTCTGGTCCAGGGGCTCAGATAACTGACTCCCACTAGACGTCCTTGGGAGAAAGTATTTGCAAATCATATCTATGATAAAGGGTAATATCCAAAATATATAAAGAACTAATACAATTCAACAGCAAAAGACACAAACAATCCAATTTAAAAAATGGGTAGAGGATCTGAATAAACACTTTTCCAAAGAAGACATACAGGTGGTCAATGGGTGCATGAAAAGGTGTTCAACATCACTACTTATCAGGGAAATGCAAATCAAAACCACAATGAGATAGAGCTTCATAGATGTTAGAATGGCTATTATCAAAAAGATAAGAAATAACAATTGTTGCCGAGGATGTGGAGAAAAGGTAACCCTTGTGTGCTGTTGGTGGGAACATAAATTGGTGCAGCCACTATGGAAAGCAGTATGGAGGTTCCTCAGAAAATTGAAACTAGAACCACCATACGATCTTGCAATTTCATTTCTGGGTATTTATCTGAAGGCAATGAAAACACTAACTTGAAAAGATATATGCACCCCCATGTTCACTGAAGCATCATAGCCAAGACATGGCAGCTAGGTAAGTATCCATCAATGAATGAATGGATAGAGGAAATGTGGTGTAACATACAATGAAATGTTATTCAGCCATGAAAAAGAAGGAAAGCTTGCCACTTGTGACAACATGATTGGACCTTGAGGGCATTTTGCTAAGTGAAATAAGTCACGCAGAGAAAGACATATACCATGTGATCTTGCTTTTACGTGGCATCTAAAAAAAACAACCAAAAAATGAACTCATAGATACAGAGAACAGATTGGTGATTGTCAGAGGCAAGGGGTTGGAGTGCATGAAATGGGTGAAGGGGTCAAAAGGTACAAACTTCCAGTTATAAGACAAATAAGTCACGAGGATGTAATATGCAGCATGGTGACTATAGTTAATAACACCGTACTGTATATTTCAAAGTTGCTAAGAGAGTAGATCTTAAAAATCCTCGTAACAGGAAAAAAAATTTTTAACTATGCGCGGTGACAGATGTTAACTAGACTTACTGTGGTGATTATTTTGCAATATATACAAATATTGAGACCTTATGTTGTGCATCTGAAGTTAACATACTATGTCAATTATATCTGATTAAAAAAAGCACCCAGCTGTCTTTGATTAAGCTAGACATTAAAGAGATGTGCAAAAATGTAAAATGATGCCACTCTTCTCACTAATTATTTTAAATTTGGAAAAGATACTTATTTTTCATAAAAAATGTTTTTATGTTAAGTGATTGATTTAGTGTTACTCTTAAATCAATTAATACCTAAATATTTTTAAACAATCAGTTTTAATTTCTAATAAGGTTCATACAGATAGATATAAAGAACATGAAAAAAGCTCTTTGAGATCCTCAATAATTTCTAAGATTGTAAATGAGCCCTAAGACCAAAATGTTTGACAGCTGCCGCCCAGGCCACAGCTGAGGTCAGCTGGACCCTAGGAACACAGCTGCTTCTGCACAGAACCTCCTCAGATGCAACACATCTTTGCTCCCTCTCTGTCCCTCTTGTCAAACCCCACCATCTTTCTCTGCACTTCTCCCTCCTTCCGCTATTAACTCTACACGTCCGCCCAACCCTGTGCCCGCTCCATGACAGACCTTCCCACACTGAGCATTCAAACGGCAGATTCCATTACCAGCCTCACCCTCTGATGCAGACATCTGGGCACATCCAGTCCTCGCTTTTTGTACCCTTGTCATGACCTCTGAGTTCCCGGTTGAGTCATCCATCCTTTGAGTTGCCTGATCCATGACTTGGAGCTTCTGTTGGATTTCGTGTACAGCTGAGGATGTCCCTGGGCCAAAGAGTGATTTGTGAACAGTTTTAATTGGGTTCCCAGTGAACCCCATCTCCCCCTATGAGTGATTTCTTTCTCATGCTCCCAGTCCCTACCCTTTCAGGAAATCTTTGTATTCCGTACCTCACATATACCTTGCTATTTCTCTATAACTACTGCTCTCTTTTCTTGTGTGTATCTTTCTTTCTCCCCAGACTCGCAATCTTCCTTCCTGTTCCTCTCTTTCCCCTTCAGCTCCTCGTTTTGTTCATTAATTACAGGCGTATCGAGGGCAGGGCTTTTGTCTGTTTTGCTCACGGCTGAGTCCCCAGGACCTAAGACAGGTGCCTGGCACACACCTTCACTCAATTCATCTTTGTTGAATTAATATATAACAGACAGATTTTTGAAAATATTAGGATCATGTTTTTTTCATCCTTATAAATGGTAATGCCCCAGAGTTCCCTCATTATGAAATTGGTAACTTCCAGGGGAAAGGCAGTTACTGGCCAAAACCGAGAAGTCACTGCTCAGTTGAGACTGTTTTGGATATATTACACAAAATATTGAAACACAGAGTTTGTTGGGAGCAAAAGGGGATTTCTGAGTTACAAAAATTACCTTTAAATGCCAAAAGGAAAAGAAAGGCTTGGAGATCTGAAAGTCAAGTTTTCCTAGAAGCCACTGGTACAGAAAACTCAGCCTATGACGGAGTAAGTTTCCTCCAGCCAAGGAGGGCAATGGGGCTGGGAATTGAGAGGAAGAGACAAGGGGAGGAGAAGGGCATGCAAGGCGGTCTGAGTCCCCTCCCAGGTCAACCCCGAGGATTGAGGGGTGCTGGAAACAAGCAGGAAACTCAGAGGTGTCCAAAGCAGTGACACTCACGTCGTGATGCATGTTTGGGAGCTGAGAGGAGAGGCCCTCCCAGGTTGCCCCAGACTCTTAGGGCAGGAAATCCAAGAGAACTCTACGGACTGGCACACCTAGAACCACAGAAAAAGGGAAGGAGGAAGGAGAGGGGAGAAGGAAGAGGGAGAGAATGCAAAGAAGAAGGAAAGTGTGATGAAGACCAAGAGAAATAAAACAGAGGAGCCAGAAAGATGCAGCTTCATAAACTGCTCTTTCCTCTGCTGCAGATAACACTGGTTTTGTGCATGCAGTAGATGCACGGTGAGCAGGCACTGGTTGGCTGAGGCAGTTTTGAATGCTCAGTGACTCCACGTCTCACTCCCGTTCGGGATCGGGAGTCTGAAGCCTGCCTGCCCATTCAGGTTTGCCTTGTCTGTTCCTCCTGGCTCTGATCCTGGACTGGACACAGTCCTAATCTGAAAGTGGACTGGTGCCTCCTGTCCACCCCCACCTCCACTCCTTCCCAGTGATAAGAGAAAAGATGCTTGTTTGAACCAGCATGGCATCTGGGTCGTCCTTCTTTCGTGAACAGGAGTCCTTTGACTGGGTGGCTTGGGGGCAGGGGTGGGGCTGCCGTGCTCCAGTGATACCCGGGTGGCCGTGTGGCTGGGGAGGAGGGCATGCTGGTTGGCCAAGTGATGACCCAGATGAACACCAAGGCAGTAAGGACCTCATGTTTCTTGCTTACCTCTTGGGAGTCTTTCCTTCTGTCTTTTTTTTGAACTTGACCAGTTATATTTTTTTCTCCTCTTTTCTAAAACAGAAAAAGAAGAAGTCGTCTCTATGGCCATAAATATTGATCTAGAAGCTTAAGTCAACATCTTTAAGTAAATTTTTTTCTGTCTTCCCAATACTTTGTGGAGGCCAGAAAACCATAAAATCTACGTGTAAAAAGTACTCCGCTTTACTCGGAAATAAAAAATGATTGAAAAAAGACGTAACAGAGATATACTTAATTATTAACATTTAAAATATGCCATTTTTCCAAAATAATAACCAGTTTTTCAAGACAACAAGACTATAAGAAAATATAGAGAAAGATTGTTATAAGCCACAAGTATAAACAATTTTTTTAGCCAAATGCAGGGCTAGAAATCACAAAGGTAAAAGATGAAAAGTTTTGACTGTTTACAAAATTTAAAATGTCCGCACTTCCAAAAACATCATTCACAATATTAAAACAAGAAAATGGGGAAAAAATCCAATATATTTAACATTAGGGGATTAATATCCTTAGTAGATAAAGCAAAAGATGAACAGTACACCTGGAAAGTGGGCAGAAAATGCTCAAAGAGAAAATGCAAATGATAAATTTATTTAAAAAATCATCTTTAGACCACTAATAATCAAAGAAATGCACTGTTTAGTTTAAGGATACCCAACCCTTTAAAGAGTTTTATCATGTCTAGTGTTGGTGAGCATGTAGGAAATGAGCACGCATGTACTGTTAAAAGGAACATTAAACAATTACATTTTTTGCAGAACAATTTGGTAACATATATAAAATTATACAGTAGGGTGCTATGTAGCTAAAAGAAAGGAAAATAGATAATATTAACATTAAGACGTGTGTTAAATTCACAATGAAAAAAGGTTTATAGAAGAGACTATATAGTATGAGTATATATATATATAGTATGAGTATATATATATAAATATACAATAAATATATAAATGATAAATGTATATGCATATTTGTAAGGTGTATAAATACAGTGGGGGCAGTTTAAATAGGAATTTAACTTTCTGATTAATAATTTTCTGTACTCTTTGCACTGTATCAGACAGGATAGGATAGGCTATACATTAACAAACAAAACCAAATCTTGGTGGCTTAATATACAACAGTGCGTTTATTCATCACGCAGAGTCCTCTGCAGGACCTGCAGTCTCCAGGGCAGCTGTCCTCGGCGTGGCGGTGCTGAGATTCCCACTGCCTTAGCCTCTGGCATCTCCCTCTTCCACACACAGGAGAGTAAGGGATGCTGTGCAGTGGCTCTTAGGTGCTTTGACCCAGAAGTGAAACCCATTGCACCAGCTCATTGGCCAGAACAATGGCCATGGATCTGTCTCCTGCAAGGGGCTGGGAAACATAAGCTTTCCAAGTATCCAGGAAAAGCAGGGGAATTGGAAAGAGTGGAGAGCACTAGTAACGCCCACTACAACAGCGTGCAGAGCGAGTACTGCTGGTTATTCCCCTATCTCTGGTCTCTCTCTTTCCTTAGCAGTAAAGCCCCTGATTTTGAGCTGGATACCTGTCCTTCTAGAATAAAGACTGCATTGCCCAGCCTCCTTTGCGGTCAGCTGAAGCCATGTAACTAGTCCTGGCAATGAAGTGGTAACAGAATTACTAAATGCAACCTGCAGATAGCATCCTACAATAGAGCAGGAGGTGTGCCCCTCCTTGACCTTGCCTCTTTCCCTGGAGGAATGCAGACTTGTTGACTGGACGTCAGTGAAGGGGATGCCACATGCTCAGGATGGTGGAGCAACAGGTGAAGATGAGCCTGGAATTTTATGGTGTATGCAAGCCCCTGACCATCTATCTCCATAGAGGAGAAGGAAAGAGGCTCTCTTATGTTAGCTACTATTTTTGGGGGCGTGGCAGGAGCAAGCAAATCATAATGGCGGCCACAAGTATGGAAAATTTTCTATGCTGAAAAAAAGTGAAATCACTGTTTTAAGAAGCTCTAATCTTTTGCTGGCTTGGATGTCTTTTGTAGCCCAAAGAGCATAATAACCACTAGGAGTAACACCAAATCCACTCTAACAGAGACCAAATATGTCTTTACACTTACGCTTTTTCCCGGGAGATTTTCCCAAAGACTGTTTACTTCCATTATCCATGGGATCTAGAAAGTAATGAGAAAGAAAGCAATTCTGAAATAAGCAAGATTTACATTTTGTGACCACACTCATGTCAGACAGTAATGAGTTGGCAAAGCTTTGACAGTATTATTTCTGAGTCCCTTCCTTTCTGATGGAGAACGATAGCTTCTGAAGAGAATTCCAGGGACCAAGATGCTAGTCCTGTGCCAGCCAACCTTTATCCAAGGGATCTTGGGAAAACCCATTGACCCTTTACATGTCTCAGTGTTCTCATTTGTAAAATTGAATAAATTACTCAACCTTCTCCAAGGGCTGCTATAAAAATAAATAGAATTTATCCATGAGAAAATTTGAAATATTCCTATAAAAGTGAGTGCAATGTAGGAGAAACTTAAAAAATAATAATTTCTATTTTAAGGTGGTCAAATTTAACCCATTGTTTCTTACAATAATTTGATACTTGTCATTTGAGAGTCACATTTGTCATGTGAGAGTTCTGTGAATTTGTAACACAGTGACCAAATCACGAACAGACAGAAGAATTCAGCTTCGCCCCCTCCAAGGGTAGTGGTAGCAATGTGCATAACAGTAGCAATGGTCAGAAGTGAGTTAACATGCACCGTTTTAGCCAGGCATGCCCACAACAACACTGTCAGTTACGGGTGCTCAGTCATACTATTATATTTGTGATTAAGGTGATCTGTTTTCTTCCTTTCCCAGAAAGGTCATGTGAGAAAAATGGAATTTTGAGCCTTAGGAAAAAACTTGATCCATGGCTGGGCACTTTCAATAGAGCACCATGAATACACATAGAGCAGGAACTCTCAGCAGTGGTGATGTTGCCCAAAAATTGGCTCCTGGGGGAAAAAAATCTTATTCTTCTTATGTATAAAGCACAAGTAAATATATGCAGTCCATAAATTGATATATAATGTATTTGAGATATTAAAATATCATATGGAGGGGTTTGTGATTGGAAAAAATCCTGAAGTGGACTCCTTAAGGAAGTGATAATGAAAAAAAGGTTAAGAAACTCTGGTTTAGAGTAAAACAGCTCTGAATTTGGGCTCCTGATGACCACACTCTGAGACTTGCAATCCCTTATCTGTACCGTGCATGATTCCTGGTGGTGTGCTAGGTGGCTCCTGGGGTCTCCTTCCTTCATTCACTTCTGAAGCGTCATCACTGACCTCTGAAAAAAGAAACAGCATTCCTCTTAAATCTCAGAAAATGCCTTCTGGAAAGCTCCATGGGGAATCTCCCAGAGATCTCAGAAGGCCGTTGCACACTCTGGAGCCAAAGGCTGGAGGCTCCAGGTCATGCCTGAGCCTCCATGATGCCCTCCTGAGAATGCATCTAACTCTGGGTCTGTCTGCCACTTGGGGAGGAGCAGAGCAAGGCTGGTCGGTAGTTCCCCTACTAAGGGAGACGTCTAGTGGGAGTCAGTCATCTGAGCTGCTGGACCAGAGGCTCACAGTGAGGTCGTGAACCTCTGGGGGGTGGGGGTCCCTGAAACCCTTTTAATAGATCTTCAAAGTCAAAACTGTCTTCAGTAAAAGATATTATTTGTCCTTTTCACTATGTCGACCTTTGAACACATGGAGCAAGACCCATGGCAGGTAAAACTGCTGGTGCCTTAGTACAAATCAAAGCAGTGTCCCTGAACCTGTCATTGCATTCTTCATCATCACTTACTCACCATTAAAAAAAAGCTAGTTTCGCTTAAGAATGCCCTTGATGAACCAGTAAAAATTATTAATTTTATTAAATTTCTACCCTTGAGTGCACATCTTTTTAACAGTCTTTGTGAAAAACTGGAGAGTACATATGAAGCTGTGGGCTGCATCTTGAAGTTCATGGTTGTCTCAAGGAAAATACTTGTGTGATTGTTTGAGTTGTAACTCACTGTATTATTCAGTGAAGGAATATATTCCAAATGTCCATGATATTATAAAATCTTATATGAGTAGATCTATTCAAAATGTAAGATAGCATAATGCATTTTATCATAACAAAGTATGAAAAATTCATAGATATGGTCTCAGATTCTATCTTACAACCAACCTTTCAGAAACTAGCCCTTGCAGAGTCTGGGCATAGTAGCAAAGATGAATATTCACGTATATCTCAAAATACTGTTGAAATACTCCACCCTTTTAAACTATAGATCCAGTTGTCTTTGCATAAGCTAGACATTAAAGAGATTTGCAAAAATGTAGTGATGCTACTCTTCTCACTAATTTTTTAAAATTTGGAAAAGATACTTATTTTTCATAAAAGTATGCTGTTTATGTTAATAGTAATCAGTTTACTACTGACACTTCTACTGGAATGAATAGACAAATATTTTTAAACAATTAGTTTTAATCTCTAAGAAGGTATATATGGCCACATATAAACAACATAATTTTTAAGAGTGTGAAGGAGTCCTGAGACCGAAAATTTAAGAGCTGCTGCCCAGGTCACAGCTGAGGTCAGCTGGACCCTGAGAACACAGCTGCTTCTGCACAAAAACACCTCAGATGCAACACATCCTTTTTCCCTCTGTCCCTCTTGTTAAACCTCACTGTTTTTCTCTGCACTTCTCCCTCCTCCTAGTATTAACTTTACAAGTCCACCTAACCCAGTGCCTGCTCCATGACAGACCCTCCCACAGTGAGAATTCAAATAGAAGACTCCATCACCAGCCTCACCCTCTGGTCCAGATGTTTGGGCACATCCAGTCCTGGCTTTTTGGACCCTTGTCGTGACCTTTGAGTTCCTGGTTGAGTCGTCCTTCTTTTGAGTTGCCTGATCCACCACTTGGAGCTTCTCTTGGATTTCATCCCCAGGTGAGACTGTCCCTGGGCCAAATAGTGATTCATAAATAGCTTTGACTGGGGTCCCCAGTGGACCTCCTCCTCCCCATATTAGTGCCCTCCCTTCTCCTGGTCCCGGTCTCCACACTTTGAGATCTCTGTACCCCTGTGCCCTGCTTTTCTCCTGCTGTTTCTCTCTGATTACATGTTTCTTCTTGTGGGCACCTTTCGTTTTCCTTCAAACTCACCATCTGACCTCACCCTCTGTACAACCTGTTGGAAGCAACCAGATAAATCTGGGGGAATCTCCAAGCCACAGGGCTTACTTCTTGATTCCTGTCTATGTGACCCCAGCCACCAGGAGGTGGCCAAATGGAGTAGAAATGGCCATGTGGTCTGTTTCCGTAGAGTAGGGACCTTATAAAGTATCTCTCCAGGTTCCCTCAGGGCCTAAGTGTGATACAGGGGCGATCCAAGGGTCCCTAGCTGCCTCCCGTGGGGAAAGTACAAGGTATTGAAGAATTAAGAGGCAAGGGCCCTGGGATTGGGGGTGAGGTTGAGACTAAGAGCATTTGCAGTGCCGGTGGAGGGTGCCCAGTGAGTCTGCTTCATCGTGGAAGGAGGAGATCACAATTTTCACTGGCTGTGGACCTTAGGAGCTGATCCCCATAGGATGACCGTTGTCCAGTGAGCAAGGATATCTCTAGGACACCAGGGAGGACATACACGCAGCACAGCCATGCCCCTTCATGGCAGGTGAATGCCTGAGCTTCTCTCTACTCCCATGAATCACTTCCAGAGGAGGCAGGAGCTAAATGTTGGGAGGAGGTACCCAGAAGCGGCAGGGAGTTTAATCACGGAAATTACTGAATATTTACATAAAAGAGAATGAGACAAACTAAAAGAGCCTGAAAGTTGCCTTTAATTGGCACGTTTAATCTTGTTCCTGAATCACGAAAGTTTCAGAGAAAATGAGAACTCCTACAGAAAATAAAGAATACCTCTTTTTTTTTTTGCGTACAAAAAGTGTGGTATGTATATTTTCAGCATGACAAGTCGGTGTTCTTTTTTCCTTCAAATTTTGTCTCTCTTTCTAGTTGTTTTCAGCATTTTTAATAAAGGTGATTAATTACATGTAAAATAATGTGACTGTTAAAAATATCCCTGTAAAAATTTTCATTTAAATACAATAGGAAGAAAGACAAATCTGGAAGGGCCTGGCATCTCCTACTCTTGGTCACTTAGTGGAAGGAAGTCTCAGCAGAGCGGAGCTACACCAACAGAGCAGGCTGGTACCAACCCCAGAACCCCGGGGGCTCCCCCTTTCTAACAAGATCATTTATCTGACAGGGAGCATCTGCTGTTGCACAGTCACATGAATGTTCCTGCCCCCAGACCTATAAACGTGTAGAGCATTATGGGAGTGAGTGTCTCAGTACCAGGATGCTGGCCGTAGGGCAGACAGATCATCTATGCCTGCTCTAAGCTTAGAGTAATAAGAATTTGGAGGATGGTGTGGATTCTACTTCTCTGCTGTGAGATTCTCCTCCAATAATCCTTAGTTTATGTTGGCACCACGTGGTGCAAGTGGTATCTGTGACTCCTTTGCATAACACAATAATAAATTCATAAACTTTCATTTCTTTTACTCAAGAAATAACTAATACCTCGTTTGTGCCTGGAGATTATCATCCAGCCAAGAAGAGACACATTGCGTAAGTAATAACAATAGAGAATGTGGAATCTTCCAAAAGGGTCAGTTCTGGGGGCTACAGAAACACACAGTGGGACCGACTTAGCTAATTGAAGGGTCAGGGGATGTCTTTTGAAGTAGACATTTAAGCCAACATCAGTGATGAATAGGAGATAGCCAAACATTTATGGGAAGTAGTGTAGGGTAAGACTGTTGCATTCAAAGAGAACAGCACATGCCAAGGATCAAAGGGAGAGAAATGAAATGAGAGGAATGGAAGTTTAGTGTGCTTGGCTGGAGGTTTGGGTGGAAAGAAGACAGAATTGGAGGGAAAGGGAAGGATTGGATTGGAGAGAGCTTTGACAATCACATGAAGAACTATGAACGTTATTCTGAGAGCCATAGGAGGCCATGTACAAGTTTTAAGCATGGGAATGAAATCACTAGACTGTAGTGTAGGAAGGAGGAGATAGAATCAACAGAACTTTGTCAATATTCTGAGGTAGATTATCAGGTAGTCAAGGATGACTTAGTTTTTGGCTTGGCAACTGGGTAACTCATTTCAAGTTCAATAAACTCCAAATTCCTGCCAAGAGCCTGGGGGCCTTACATGTTCTGGCCCTCTCTACCATCTCACCTTCTCCTTGCTTCATCATCACCGAACAACACCAGCCTTTCCCCTCAGCCTCAGTTCCTTCACACTGGTGAGTCCCTCTGCCTGGATCATCCAATCTGAAGGGACCTTCACTCCAAAGTGCAAATCACTATTGTAATCCTATCCTTTATTTTCTTTCATCTTCTCATCACTGTCTGAAATTACCTTGTTTATGTGGTTTCTGGCTTATTTTCTTTCTCTTCCTCAAACAGGATGTAAACTCTAGGAGCTTTCTTCTTTCTTTTTTTGCTTGATATCTTGCTTTCTCTCCTTTTAAAAAACTCTATTGGGGGCAGTTCCCATGGTCGAGTGGTTAAGTTCTCGTGTTCCACTTTGGCGGCCCAGGGTTTGCCAGTTAGGGTCCTGGGTGTGGACCTAGCACCACTCAACAAGCCATGCTGAGGTGGCATCCCACATAGAAGAACAAGAAGGACAAACAACTAGGATATAAAACTATGTCCTGGGGCTTTGGGGAGAGAAAAAAAAGAGAAAGATTGGCAATAGATGTTAACTCAGGGCCAATCTTCCTCACCACCACCACCAACAAAAAAACCACCTCTATTGTTAGCTCTCAGAATGGATATACACAGAATTAGTGTTCTCTGCATGTTTGTTGAGCAAAGATCTGAAGGCTAGAAGACTAGGTTTTAGGGGAAGAAGATGAATCAATTTTGGACATATTTAGATCAGAGTGTCTATAGGAGACTTGCAACAAAGATGACCAGTAAGCAGTTGGCTGTATGTTTCTTAAAGACAAATCTGAGTTGGAGGTGTAGATTTGGGAGTCATCAGCATAGAGGTGGTGATTGAAGTCTTGAGAGTGGTTGACAAAGCTCATGGAGTGTGAGTTGAATAACCTGAGTAGTTTATACTAAACCAAGAAGGAACGTAGAGAACACACACAATGTGGCAATAGGCCATTGACTTAAATGTGGAATGAGGGAGAGAGCAGCTTGTCTTTCCTCCTTACCCAGGAAGACCACTTACCTTTGGGTAAAAGGCAGAAAACTAAAATATTTTTATGAAATACCTTAAAAGGTACTGTTGGTACAAGGCACCAACTCTGTGATTTTGGGTGCTGGAATCATGATAAGGGTAAACCAAGTCAGGGAAAAGGAGCTTTATGCCATTGACTTGGGCCGCCACCTGTTGCTCCGTGTCCTCCTTTTAGCTATAATGTCTATGTATGCTATCACCTCCCTTTCATTATTCAACCCACTGCAGCTGGCTTCTTCCTCCATTACCACTAAAAGTGCCCTTGAGTTTTCCAGTGACACCTTGTGGCCAAACCCAAGGTCCTCTTCTTTGAATTTTGTCTTGATTTACAGATGTGCTGTCTCCTGGCGCACCTCCCTCCTCACCGGTCTCTTCCTCTCAGTCTGCTTTGCTGGATTCCTCTTCTAATGGGATTTCTGAGAGCAGGGCTACATCCTGGGTTCTCTTCTCTCTCCCCATGGATCTGGATACCTTCATTTTGCTGATGACTCTTATATTTCTATCTTTGGACCAAATTTTTTATTGAGTGCCAGACTGGCATATTGTGGGGAAAATTAAACTTCCCTAAATCCTCAGTGCTTCTGTAAAAAGCCCTAGCCTTCTGAGATACAGAAATGTGTACAGAATAAAGATAGGGGATGTTTGCTTTCACTTTCCTTAGAAACATTTTACTTTTCACATACCGTGAGAATTAGATCTGTAGCTATTTGTCTAGTTAATTGCTCTGAGCTAAAAGGATAACAAAACTTCTCCTCTCCTGAGATTGCCAAAAGGTTACAGCCAGGGCTAGGTTCCTGGGTTAAGACCCAAAGTGTAAGGAATATTGGAGCTTTCTCTCCTTAGGTAATTACATGTCAAAAGGAATGAAGCCCAGAACTTGGAGACATCTCTGTAAAAGCCTGAGACACCAGGGGTTTCTCTGGCTCTTGGAAAGCTGCATTTAAATTCCAAAAGATTAGGGTGAGAACCTAGGATCTTTTCAATCCTATATCAAAGCAGCACACTTATTTAAAAATTTTAATCCTTTCAGGAGGGGAGGAGGATGGCTGTCCTTGTTCTGTATATAAACAGAAAATCCATCATTCTCCATTCCTTGTCTATGGGCTGTAATCTGCCCCTCACTAGAGAGATTCCATCAGCTCTCTTCTCGTTGCCTACTGGTCTGTGTGTAGGGGATAGATGCTGCAATGTTACTCTGGCTATTAAGCTGATTGTGAATATCAACAAAGAATTCTTTTCTCTGACCCAGGTGCCTCGTGTTTCTACAGTAGTCATATATATAAAGAACATGACAATGCAAGTAGGGTAACATCTCAGGCCCTCCACAGTTCTTGGCAAAGCACATACCTGGCACAACAGCATAGATGGCTAGCACAAATCCTGAGACGGACAGGTCAAAAGTGGAATTCTAGAGTTTCCTCCCAAATATATTTGTATCCCACTCAGCAATGGGCACCACCATTCACCCAGCCATTCAAGCCAGAAATTGAAGAGCAAGCCTTGATTTCTCCCTCTCTCATCCTCAGCTTCCAACTTATCAAGTCCTGTCAACTCTACCTCCAAACTGATCTTGGGTTGGCTCTCTTCTCTCTATCTCCACAGCCAGATCTGACTCCAGGTTAGTATTAGCTGTCATGGCATCTGCCCCCCAAATGGTTTCCTCGCTTCCCTTCTTTTCTATTTCCAACTTGTTCTTTACACTGCACCAAAATTTGTCTTGTCAAGTTTAAAACTGGATCATGCCACTTCACTGATTAGATCTCTTCAATGGCTCCCCATTGCATTTAGAATAAAATTCAGCTCCCCACACTGACCTACACGCATGAGAAGTCTCCAGTCTCCTCTTGTAGTCTCGTCTTACCTTTTGGGAGGCTTTTTTTCTGATATCTCTTCTTTGGAATTGACCACACATTTCTTTTTCTTTTCTTTCCTAAAAAGAAAGGATACAGATCATCTTTTATAGCTACAAGCATAGATCTGCCAAACTTATATGTCAACAATTTTCGGTTTTTACTTTTGGTCTTCAAACCATAGTGGCTAGGAAGTCATTGGTGACCTTAGGTGATGCTGCTTCATGGTGTAATGAGGGGAGAAGAAATTCTAAAGTGGCAGAGGAGAGAGACATGAGGAAATGGAGACATTGCGTTTAGGTAACTCATTTCTAGAAGTTTGGTTGTGAAATGGAAGGGAGAACTATGGAGGCAGTTGAAGAGAGATGAGGATCAAGATAAAGTCCCTTTTATGAGCTATAATGGGCTTAGGCATTGGCTGAATGCAGATCTTTGTGAGAGGAAGATGTTGAATTCTCGAGAGAGAGAAGGGATCATGGATACTATCAGGTAGAAGTAGAAGGATTGCCTTGGAGAGAAGGACAGTACTGGAGGGGAGGGGACAGGTGCAGTTAGGGCTTGTAGGGTTGGGAGCAGCAAGTGATTCCCATTTGATGTCTTCCTATGAAGTAGGAGGAAAAGTCATCTCTTGAGGAAAAAAGAGGTGGTGAGGGGTTCAGAGGTTTGAAAAAAAGAGCTCAGGGTCTGAAAGTATCATTGCACTTCGTGGAATTGTCACACACATGGAAGGATCATTTTCGCTGGAATCATGAAGACACAGTGGGTTCACTCTGCCCTACTATGCGACTCTCCCCAGCAGTGCCTGCTCTCAGATACAGTGTGCAGAAAGTAGATAATAGATTCTTCCACACTTGCCAGAGAGTTATAGGAAAAGACAGAAAGGCAAGGCAGCTTAAGATATTGGCAATGGGTTACTAAAACGCTGGATCTTGGACTCTAAGCTGGTAAGAAGGGGCGTGAAGAAAGGCAGATGATGGATTGGAAAAGGGAAAGGCCAGTGGTCATCTAAGTGAGGTTGATGGACAGCTACAGAGGGAATAAATTATAAGGAAGAGATCAGGCGCGGATATTTTTAAATTAATTTTTTAAGATTGGGCTGAGGAGGAGATATCAGAAGTTGAACGATAGCTGCAGAAGAAGCAAGCTTCAAGGACAGGTGTGAAAAAAATGAATTGTTAAATTAATTATTGGGGAGTTGAGCCAGGGTTGAATGAAGAAAGGGCCTGTGGATTGCATTTGGGCACAGAGGCCAAGAATGGGTGGAGGAAGGAGTCACTGGAAATGAGATTTGAGAGGTCAGGGTATTGGATGGGCCTGTTACCCACGTATACCTCGAAGGTGTCCAGGAAGATGGCAGGACTTGAAGTGACAGAACAACTCTAAGTGAGCCTTCAGGTCTGCTGGGGCATGGAGGGGAACGACAGATAATAGTGATGAAGAGGGAGTGAGTGTTTCACTTGAATGGTTAAGCCTCAAAGGAGAGGATCAGGGAGCAAGCGGCTGGCTGGGGGCAGTGGGTAACAAGGGGTGGACATCCAACCTACCTTCTACCATGAGGAGACTGATAGCAGAGAATATGCAGCCTTGTCTTAAGAGGAAGCAGAGTCCTCTCTGGGAAACAACTTTCAGTTAAAGAGGGAGGAGCAACTAACCCTCCAAGAAGTTGTGGCTATAGGAGACTTTGATGATTTCTGAACAGGCAGTTCCAATGAGTGCATATTTCAATGGTCCTAAATGCCTTCCCACTTCCCTATAATTTTCATGAAGGCCTTAGAGGAAGATGCAATGAATCGGCATTGCAGAAACAAACTGTACGGGCGTCTTGACAATAATCACATAATGGGTACATATGACAAGATATAATCGGAAGAACAGAATGCAGCTCCAAATTCACCCTCCAGACATCTCCAGGACAAAGGCAATCATTACCTTTCTTTGTGGGAGGTGTGCTGGATGCCTCCTGGGGCTCTTCTGCATCATTTGGTTCAGGAGAATCATCTCGTATCACTGACAGAAGAAATAGAATTCATTTCAGAGCTCAGAAAGGGCTGAAGAGAAAGTGCCAAGGGAGATCAATGGGAGACCCAGGAGGGTGATGAGTGTGTGTAGACAGGGCTGGGAACCTGCCAGCTTGCAGGGTTGCCTTGATTTGACCAACTTGTGTCATCGTGACCTGTGTGACCATCACAGTGAAACAGGGAACAATTGCTCCACACAGAAGGCTCAGTTTGGCCCACTTAGAGAGATTCCTCTTACTCAATGGAAGAGAAGTACAAGGGCTGTCAGCAGCCTTCACTCAGGGAATGAAGCTGAGAGCAGTGTGTGTTGTGACCTTTAATTCTGATGGCCACAATGAAGGGAATGTCTCTGCCACATGAAAAATACATGCTATTGCCTAGATGTCTGTGAATGGATATTTGCTGTATCTGTGATTATTTCATCTTGAGAAAGAGTGAAGGAGGCTACGTGCCTTACATGTTTGCATGTACAAAGACTGATGAAGAAAGCAGGAGCTAGCCTGTAGTTGCTAGCAAGTGTTAACAGCAAAGGTAGACAAAGTTCGGCTAGTTTTTGCTGCACTAAGAAAGTCAGAAGGACTTGAAGCCATAACAAATAAAGGCCATCTCACAAAAGGCTGTCACCTTCTTGTTTACACAATGCTGTGAGATCTGTTTCAAATTCTGGCCTGCTTAGGAACAGGTCCCTGAGACAGGTAGCAAGCAGTCATTACACCTTTTAAATCATTTGTCGCATTTCAAATTATTTAAATAATATCTACTGATAAAAATCCAAACCATTTAGGGGCTGGCCTGGTGGTGTAGTAGTTATGCTTGTGCACTCTGCTTCGGCAGCCCAGGGTCCACAGGTTTGGATCCTAGGCATGGACCTAAGCACTGTTCATCAAGCCACGCTGTGGCAGCATCCCACGTAAAAAATAGAAGAAGATTGGCACAGATGTTTGCTCAGCAACAATCTCCCTCAAGCAAAAAGAGGAGGATTGCCAACAGATGTTAGCTCAGAGCCAATCTTCCTCGCACACACACACACACAAAATCCAAACAACTTAGAAATGACGAGAGATGAAATTTCCCCACAGTCAGGGTGGGGGCTGGGAAGGAGGACCATCCATGTCGGGGGCAACAATTCAGTGCGAGGGCCACACCATGTTTTTGTTTGCTTTGCATTTTGATGGAGCAGTTTTGAGCTTTATCTTATTGAAGTGGCCTCAGAGAATGGCTGAGTCAAACAGTCCTGCCCTGACTCGATCCCTCGTCCTTTCCTCGACATCCTCCTGGCAGATGAATGTTCTCCCTTCGCAGACCCTGTAGTTGTGTTTGGAGTCCAAATCCAGTGGATACTAGTGGGGCTCCCATCCCTTATCATCGGTGCTTCCCTCTCAGTCTACTTTTCCCGGACTCATCTCCCTTACCCTTCCTTGTGACTCTGTCTCCACTCAAGAATTCAGGTTTCCTGCTTGTCTAAGCTCTCGTGGACTAGGTGAGCAGCCAGAAGCTGGGCAAAGATGGCAATAGAGAGCAGAGAGCACTGTTCCTAGAAGGTCAGCATGGCTTCTGCTCTTGGAAGACACAAAAACTAAGGCGAACTTAACTCATCCAAATCACGTTTACCTTGCACTGGGCCTGAGGGAGCACAGGGCATTTCTTGAGTGTCTTCTTTGACTTTTATTTGGGGGTTCAGGTTGTCACTGGATGCTGAGCAGAGGAAGAAAGGAAATGTCAGATCCCAGGACCAGCAAGGAGGGACCAGAGGTAGAAGGAATGAGAACAATCTATTCCAGCCAGTAAAAATGATGGGGCCAACTGAACACCAAGGCCTGGCAAGGGTGGGAGAGAGTGGGAGAGTAAACAATCATTTCCTTTCAATTAGCTACTTATTAATTTAATAATGGTACTTATTTTTTTCTTTTGAAAATCTGGAAGATGGAATCTTCCATTGTTATTGGCTTCATGATTATGTTAATCTTATTTGGATGGTATGTATTAGAGGAGTGGAGGAAACATTTGGACCAAATAGGGCCCTTTAGTCTCAGTATTGAAGAGCTCAGAATCCATGATACCATTTTTGACAGCACCCAATAATCTTCCACTGTCATATTTAATGTAATCATAGTCTTTTATAATGATGGTTTGGGGGAGCTAAGGGACACAGTTTTAGAAGCTAAATCAGGTCCAGCAGACCTTTAAATATTTATCATCTTTTCTAATAATTTCAATAACATTATTCTTAGAATCCAAACCATATAAAAATGAATATGGGAGAAACTGAAAGGCCCCATAATCAGAGGGTGAGCAATCGGGTAAGGGTCACGATGAATGTATTGCAAAGTTACTTGCCAATTCAGAGCAGTGTGTTTGGTTGGACATGGCTGTTGGACATCCCAGCATCAGACTGGCTGTGGTGGTATCCTTGACAAGCGGTCCTGTGCCCAGTCAGTGCATCAGTCCTCTTCTGTTTCTTTCTTTTTTTTTTATCATACCCGGTTCTTTCTCCCAGGGTTCCTACCACAAGCCTCTAGGTTTGTGGGTGTGTGTTTTCCCTTCATGACCACCTCGAGCTAATCTAAGTCAGCCCCAAGCAACATCACCTTGCACAGTGGCAGGGGGAGTGCCAGGCATCTTGTGTGATTCTTCTTCATCATTTATGTGGGATGTTAGATTGTCATTGTTCATTGAAGAGAGGAATAAAAATCATTACAGGTTACAGGGACAGGGCACCAGGGAGAGGAGTGAATACTAAGAATGCCTGGGGCAGACAGAGCACCAAAACCCAAGGGCAGAGAGTACGGCTGTTCCAGGGGTGGGAAGCAGATGTTCTGGGCTCTAGGCCTACCCAGGCCCCTGGCAGTGCCTGTAATCCATCTTGGACAGGGCTGTGAATGGCAGGTGGGTGCATGGGAAGGACCAGATCAACAAAAAGATGGGACCCTGTCGTTCTAGACATGGTCCCAGGCACTCTAGGTGGGAGATGCACAGGTGTTGGACACGGTCTGTTTCTTACCTGGAGTGATCCTTTCTTCTTGGGCGACTTTTGGGCGAGCCACAGCAGGGCCAGAAGGGCTGGGTGGCTCATCCGGAATCTCAACACTGTGTTGTGTGGATGCTCCAGGCTCACTGACTCTGGGCGCACAGGGTGGGCCTTTCGGTGGAGGGTGTTGAGTTGGGGGCAGCGGCAGCAGGGCCTTGTGGGAGCTCCTTTCTGCTGGGTTGGCTGGGACTTCCAGGAGGATGGGCGTGGTTCTGCTCCCTCCTCCATAGGAAGTGACAACTGGGATTGGCAAAGGAGCACACATCAACACCCTGGAGACTCAGAATTATTTGGGGAAGGGGTTTGGCGTCTTTACTAAGCATGACTTCCAATAGGCCAGGGCATAGAGTTATTTATTGTCCCCCGGGTGCATAGATCCAATTCATCATCATCATTGTCCATTTGTGGCCTCCTTCTATTTTATGTATTTGATTTGGGCATCCAGTGCTATAGTAACGGCGTCTAATCTTGATCTAATACCAAAGTGGTTTTATATACAAAGTTGAGTTTGACTCTGTACCTAGGGATTTAATTTTCTATAATTTTGGTTTCAGAATTTAGCCAATTATGTACAATGTTATAATTTTAACAGATGCCCCTGTTTAATAAATAAATATATGTATCACACCTTCCTGGAGCAAATAAGATAAATATAAACCCCTTAGCATGCTGTATTAGGACATTAACATTCTGGTTTCTGTTCATCTCTGCAGTCAGACTCCATGCCTCCAAGCCTTGCACCTTATGATCAGGCCACACCAAACTTTCCTCCCATCCCCAATCCCCAGGCCTTTGGCTTTCTGTATGCTGTTCCCCTGCATGGCCAGTGCTGGGCTTCTCTTATGATACTTCTCCATCATTTATTTCAGAAGTAAAATGGTCTCAATCAGTGAACAGAAAAAGGAAGGTAAGTTGGATTTTGGAGAGGAAGCCAGAACAAAATCACAGAGTTGCAGATCTGGAAAGATGCTTGAGCTCAGCCAGGCCAGAAGGGTACATCAGAGTGTGGTTCCTCTGGCTCTCAGACTTGCTTAGCTCTGCCTTTGAGAACACATTTCTCCCAGCACTGTCCCAAATGCTGCCAGGAGCATGGGCCCACATGCAGCTGTGCCTGCCTGGAGGAGGACTTTACTCTTTGGCTGCCCCTTTAGCTCAAGGAATCATTTCTTCCTTTTGGGAGGAGCCTCTTGATGGTAAAGTGTCAGAAAGCAGATGAAGAGCTGTCAACAGTGGTGACTACACTAATATAACATCTCAATCCAGTGCGATCTGCTCGTCCTCCCCCTGTGATTCTCAGATAACTGAACCATGTGCTTCGGCCAAAGTATTGTTCCTCAAACCTAAAATGATTTTAGTGCTGGTGTCTCATACCATTTTTGAAGCTCTCAAGAATTGTCTTCAGTTTGGGGTATTCACACAGGTTAATTCGGCTGAACAACATCTCCAGAAGTGACAGATTAAACGTCTTCTCCAATTTGGTGAGAATGTTGTACACCAGTCTGGATACAGGAACCTGATTGCTATGGGCTTCCAGAGATTCCTTAAAAAATGGAATGAAGGATTATTAGAAATGATTATAAAATGGAATGGAGGTTTATTAGACATTTTTGGTTTTCTAAGTTCTAAGAAGGCTGTTTTGCTCTTTTAAGAAGGAATTTGACATAAATTTATAGTCAACTTCTCTGATGTAGAGAAGTCTCAGTCCCACACATTTAATTTTGTAATTTCTCATATATTTGGATGGTTAGTCATAGGAATAAATAATTTAGCCTTCTTTAAAATAAGTCTGCTTTGTGAATCTTATTTTAGGTACATTTGAGGGAAGAGAGAAATTTTAATGAAGAAAAGGGGAGTCAGGGGCTGTGCTGTGTAATTAATTCTCTAAGGATCTGGGGTGGACTCCTCAGCAATGGACCTAATGGTTGGTCACAAGTGCCAATTCTGGTGATTGCTTGTTAGCCTCTGCTCTTTTTCTCTCTCTCAGACTTGAGATGACCTGAATGGGTTCCAGCCACAGAGAAATTATCCTAATAATTCCTCTTGATGAGAAGTTGTCCAGAAGAAGAAGCATGGCCAAAAGGAGAATTGATTGCAAAATACTTATTGAGTGTCTACAAGGCTCGTTGAGCTAGTCCTTGGGTACGTAGCAATAGATAAGATCAACATGGTGCTACCCATATTGGAGGAGGAGCACTGTCAGGTGGAGAAGATGGGCATTAAATAATAATCACTCAATTACCATTGAGAGAAGTGTTAGGAAGGGAAAACACAGACTGCTATGAGAAAGAATATGAGGGGGTCTTAGTTAGACAAGTGGGTCAAGGAGGCCTCTCTGAGGATGACATCTGGGCTGTCATCTGAAGACAGGTTGGACTCAACCAGACCAAGACTCAGGGGAGATTGTTCTACCACTGCTACCCCTTCCCTTGGCCTGCGGCTCAGGAAATGCTTTAAAAAATCCAAATTATAGGAAAAGAATATCATTTTTGTTCACATAGCCATATCTCCCAGTGCCTGCCTGGCTTCACATCAGAATGAACTGTGAGTGACAAGCTCTTAGGAATTGGGATGGTGCCCTTCCTCCCAAAGATATGTCCACCTGAAACCAATGAATATGACACCATTTGGGAAAAAAGTCTTTGCAGATACAACTAAGTTAAATATCTTGAGATCATCCTGGATTAGGGTGGGCCCTAAATCACAATGACAAGTGCCCTTAGAAAAGAAATGGGGAATATAGGAAAAAGAGAAGGCAATGTAGAGATAGAAACAGTGACTGAAGTGATGTTTCTATAAGCCAAGGATACCAAGGATTGCCAGCACCAGTAGGAGGTAGGGAAAAGTCAGGGAATTGATTCTCCCTCAGAGTTTCTAGAAGTAATCAACCTTACCAACACTTTGATTTTGGACTTTTGGCCCCCAGAACTGTGAGAGAATACATCTCTTTGGATTAAGCCACCTGGTTTGAGCCATCCTCTTTCTCTGATAATAAACATTTTGGGCTGGGCCTTCCAAACTCTAAAAGCCCTGGGGTTTGTGAGACTTCCATAACTGGGCATTCTTGATGGGAGCTAGGCCGCCGTGGCAAAGCGATCAGCATGACTCACCCTGTACATTCTCTCGGTGATGAAGGAGCTGTCTCGGAGGCCTTCGAAGAAGGGAAATGCCTTATCTATGGCATAAGAAATCTGCAGCTTCTGACATATGAAGTGCTGGAGGAGAGCCTCTTCTAAGGCCCTGGTCATGGTGAACATCCTATGGAAGAGGCGTGAGAAGAAAAAGGAAGCAAAGACTCTGAGGAGCTTGGGGAGCTGCGCGTTGTGTTCACTGGGCATCCACAGACAAGCATTCTTGTCCCAGAGGCATCCCTGAGCAGTCTGCAAAGCAATGTCTGCCTCAAAGACTCATGGATATAGGAAGCAATGACAACACCAGCAACAATGGAGGCTGAAAGAGACCGAAACTATGATGCAAAAATCCCAAGGGGGCTGCTGGTAAACATAAGGCAGATATTAAAAAGAGCTGATATTTATTGATTGCTTCCTGTGTGCCAGATGTTTTTTCTATGGGCTTACATGCAGTAACTTATTTGATCTTCACAAAACCCTTGCAAGATGGTACTATGATTGCATGCATGTATGTTGTCAAGGACACTGAGACTTAGACAGGTTTAATAAGTTGCACAACTTGGAAGTGGTAGAGGGGAACAAATTCTTACTTTGTGGTTCCAGGCTTACAGTCTGTGTAAGCCTGGTTATAGCCGTAAGTGCTGTGGTCTGCGGCTATATTGAACTGAGGTAAACAAGCTTGCCTGGACTGCAGGTTAAGGCAGAAACTAGCATAGCTAGTGAAAAAGGGACAACCTAAAAACGGTAAAAAGATGGAAACCTGATAATACTTAGTAATTTTAATAAGCCACCTACAATTGTAAGTGAACATAAATGAGGCCATCTTGTCAGGCTACATGACCCTTTCCTAGTTAAAACCCTCCTAGCATGTAATCATTATAAATTACTACATGATTTCATGATTTTCACATACCCCTGCTGAGGTTCTGATAGCTTGGTTCTTAACAATCTTAACAAATTTCCTCAAGGAACAAGAAGGCCTCCAGGAAGAAGGGACACCTGTAGGATATTCATTTTCACTGACAGAAGAACAACGAGGAACCTCGGAGTGGGTCAGTTCTGAAGGCCGACATTTCTAAACCTCCTCCTTACTGCCCATTTCCCCTATATAACCGCCTCAAGATTCTGTAATTCTTGAAGACTTTTTTGAGACATTAGTCTGCCATCTTCTGGTTATGCTGTCTCATTGAATAAAGCTTCCTTTCTTCATCTCTAACTCATTGTGGTTAATTAGCTCAGATCTCGGCAAGCAGAGCGAGCCCATTGCTTGGTAACACGATCTTCGACACATAAATAGGCCAAACATAAATAAAGACAGCAAGAATGTGAAAGACATGATTGGCAAAGTTGACTTAACTGATTTATTTTATGTATCAATTTTATATTTCAGAAGAGACATGTGCTTTTTCTCATGCCCATGCAACATTCATAAAAATTGACCATTGATAGGCCATGAGAAAATATCAATATTGTAATAGGTAGGAAATTTACAGATGACATTCTTGGCAAATTGCCAAAAAAAGAAAGTGCTAACAAAAAATTCAATCACCTAGTGATTTTTTAACAAATAAAACAAACAGGGACCCCATTTTTCCAACTTCATTTTGTATCAAAGAGAAAATTGCACTGTAATTAATGAGGATTTCTAGGGGTTTCATCCCAGCGGCCGATTGAAAACCCCTGTCTCTCTCTCATCATTCCCAAATCCTTTAAGTTTGACAGAAAAAAATACATGTTGTAAAAAAGACTAATCCACAACAGTCTTGGAAAACAAGAAAAGATGCCATAGGGAGTCTATAGTCGTGAAGAAATCCTGGAAGATAGAGGACAGATGGGAGAGAAATAGAGCATCCATGATATGGACAGGGTAAGGACCGAGAAAGACATTGCAAAGATCAGCACAGAGCCAGAGAAAGCGAGAGTGAACACATGATAAGAAGAGGAAGGGGCCCTGGGGTTACATTTAGGATGATTAATTATACAACAGAATTCGGTGCAGAACATTCGCCAGGTTCCTCACTCTTCATCTGTTACCATTCCGAAGGATGAAAGTGAGGTACAGAGAGGTTAAGTAACTAGCCCCAGGTATTCAGTGGCAAAGCAGAGCTTGTCTGACTAAAGCTCCATTTCTCACTGGTGTGTGACATTAAGTGTCATATGCGAGTGTTCAGATTTTTATTCTGTAAAGGAGTCTTAAAAATGAATGAGCAAAAGACAAACATCTATGTAGAAAAAAAGCAAAAGATATAAACAAGCAATTAAGTCAAATGCATAATAGATTAAAAAAAACAGTAACTCACTAGTAGGTAGAACAGTGCAAAGGAAGACAATTTGATAACATATTTGCCTATCAAGTTGGCCAAGATAGAAAATACTAGAAATAATCGCAGATGCTCTTGGTGGAAATGTAAACAGATCCAACGTTCTGTAGGCTAATTTAGTAATCAGTGTCAAATACTCTAAAATATATGTTCCCTTGAGTCCCAAACTTGACTTCTAGGAATTTATTTCAAGGAAATAGTCATGAACATGCTTAAAGAAAATTTACAAAAAGTTCATGATATACTAGAGAGGAAATTAACTGTTCTCTTCTTATTTTCTCTTTTCCACCAGCTCCCCAGCTGCCTCTAGTCACTTACACAGTGGATAGAGAGTGAGTCGCCTGTTTGGGGCAGAGTGCAGGATCACAGAGCATGGCCGAGGGGGTTAGAAGCAATCTCACTCCTTCCACAACAACAGGCTAGAACTTAGGGAAAAAAGAGTTGAGCTGTGTGTCTGCTTCCCCCCTGCGTCTGTCCTTCTTTTTAACAAGCTCCCATTAGATCCCACTTACCCTCTCTACCTCTTTAGAAAGCACTATTTTGTGAAGAGAGCGCCTAACTTTAAATAGTTGAGTTCCGCCCTGCAGCTGCTGCCAGGAAATTAATTGTGAAAGCCCAATTACCAAAATGAACAAAGCAGCTGAGCCAAAAACCCACCTGGATGCTGTTAGCCAGCTGCTCTTGCCCCTTTCCAGGTCCAGCGGCTGGGCCCGGGATCACTCCTGGAAGACTGAGAGAATAGCAAAGAGATGAAGTGGGTGAAACCGGAAGTCTGTGCTTGGCCACAGGCAAGGTGGGCGAGGCTTCTGAAAAAAGAAAAGTGAAACTATTTGGAGCACGTTGGGCAGGAAGCTGAAGGCAGGGCTGGAGTGTTTGCTGCCTCTCTCCCCCTCTGGACGCTTGTGAGATCCCAGGGGTTTCAGGGATTGCGGGCGGCGGGGGGGGGAGGGGGAGGACGGGGTACTGCCAATCAGGACCAGCCTGGGAGGGGTGTACAGAGAGGAGGAGGCATAGGGGTCCAGCCCCAGGGTCCTGGGAGTCTGGGAATCCACCATCTGCCTGCTTCCCTACCCATCTCTATTTCCCCATCGCTTGTCCTGCTTTTATACCCTTTGGGGTGGCGAATATGTTCCCAAACTGGATTGTGTTGATGGTGATGGTTACATAACTGAATAAATTAAGTAGAAATCATCAAACTTTAAAAAAACAGGAAACCAAAGTGGAGGTGAGGCGACTCAGCAATGCCTCTAATTTGTCAGGATAAAATTATTACCTAAGCAAATTGAAATAAAAGGGAACCTAAATACAATTGAAATCATGCAGAGGTCGGCAGATCTTCAGATAGGAAAGCCACGGGGAGTCAGACAGGCAGCTGAGAGCCGGCTGTGTGTGGAAGTCTAAGGCAGAGCCAGGGCCAGGGGAAGATTGTAGGACAGCCACTCCAGGGGAGATGGGAATGCCTCCTTCTGTAGACCCCCTTTTAAGAGTCCTAGTGTACATTGGCATGTAGGGCCTGTGAGAAATCCTAAAGTATAGAAATCTGATTAACTTTATTTAAGTAAATAATTCTCAAATGTATTCAGCTTGAGTTTCCCCTAAAAAGATACCCATAAACCACTCAGTAAAAAGATGGGAAACACCGTTCTAGGCTCTAGGAAGCCTTCCATGTTCCCTCTGGAGGCACCAGCAGAGCCCGTCCCACCCAAGCATATACCCCAGCAGCAGGGCACCACCGTGGGGATGGCAGAGGCGCGGAAGCCCCAGTAAGACAACGGTGATGGAGGGAGGTGCAGGAAAAAGTGTGATGCCAACAGCCGAGGAGAGGGTGCAGTGTTGCCTCAGTGCTTGGTGACACTCAGCACTTCAAGCCCAGGGGACATCAGCGGTTAAGAGGGATTAAGACTGTTTCATGCAACTGTCACACTTCGCTTACCAGAATCCCTCCACTTAACCTGGAGGATCCCTCTGTGGATCCCAGAAGGCTGGGTATGAGGAACCTCCTGTTTTAGACCTGCCCAGAGATATCCTGGGCAGATGTAAAAACAAAAACAGAAAAAAGGGAAAAGAAGGCAGGAGAGGGAACATAATGTCAGACTGGACAAAAATCATCAAACTAGAAAAAGATGTGAATAAGGACAGAAGATGCTTCTCAGTGACACACTTGAGGACACGCTAATAATGGGAAAACCTTAGTGTTATTTCACACACAAGTGACATGTACTGAGAGACTAAAATTATGTACAATTTGTTTTTAGTTCAATTTTACGGAGGTATAAAATGCATTCAATTTGTGCACATTTTGATGAGTTTTAACAAATGCAATCATAACCACAGTTAAGATATAGACAATTTCCATCCCATCGCTCTCAGAGAGTCCCCCCCCAAGCTCCTCCCCAGCATCAGGCAACCACTGATCTGCTTTCTAGTACTACAGAGTTGTTTTGCCTGTATTAAAGTTTCACGTCAGTAGAAACATACAGCATGTGCTTTTTGGCATCTGGCTTCTTTTGCCCATCATAATGCTTTTGAGATTCATCCCTGTTGCTGCGGCTCAGTAATTGATTCCTCTTTAGCAGGTGTGCTGGCCACCTCTTGCTCATCTGTCTGATCACCATGATGTCACCAGTGTAATCCATCAGCCTGATGTTCTATGGGATGTCCAGGTGATCCAGATCTCTTTGGACTATACTATGACAAAGGACAGGTGAGTTAATATAACCCTGAGACAAAACTAAAAGTGAATACTTTTTATCATCATGTGACATACGAAAATTGTTTCTGATCTTCCTTTCTAATGAGAATGGAAAGAACACATTTGCTAAGTCAATGGCTGCACACTGTATACCTGAGGCCCGTGGAATGACGTGGGCTGGGGATCTTACTGTCCAGACTGCCTATTTTCTTATCCTGCTCCTTCAGCATTCCCATGAATTCTATGAGCTACCCAATATACTTCTAAGAAATGGATTTTCTGCTTGGGTTAGCCAGAGTCAGTTTTGGCTACCTGTACCCCCAAACCCCAACTGATTAAAAACTTGGTGTCAGAGAGTGAATTGTAGACAATGGACCTGCAAGGAAATGTGATCAATCTGGGATTGATTATCTGACCTAATTGGACATGAAAGTAGTGAACATCCTATTAGTGTCTCAAGATAGGCGTTTGGTAGACTTTGGCAAGCAGGGGCAAGATAGCAAGTTAACATTTAGCACTGGACTGTGATCAGGACTCTACAATTCACTCTTGATTCCAAGCGTCAGAGCTCAGCATACTTAGCAAAATGGAGGGAAATCTTTAAGGTAGAAAGAAAGCATCAACTGGCTTTCAGAGATTATCACCTACTTGGCCTAAATCTGGGTGGAGAACAGAGCAAGGAGGCAGGCCATATCTTCTTACATCATGGGTCATGTGAAAGAAAAAGAAGACTGCTCCACTCCTGCACTAGGAGTCAGGCACCACCTGATGGTCATAGATGGTCTTGATCCAGGCATCCTTCATCCCGGAGAGATTGATCTCTAGTGAACATAGAGAAAAACACGACAGTGGGAAATAGAAGGTAAAATTCCAGCCTATTGTTTTATGGGCTAATGCATGATGTTGCAAACTTGTCAGGAATACCCCTTAAGTCTCAGTCCTACCACCAGTCAGCTGAGGGACACCAAAGACTTCTGCTTGTAAGCAAAAAAAGCTGACACATCTATATCGGCATCAGCTCAGCAGTGGTCTGGGTCAGCCTGCTACCTATGGGAAGAAAGAGGAGAGAGAGGGCAGGTGTAGTCTGTGCCAAGCCTTGTCTGGGCCACTGTGCTCCCATGGAGGCTGAGAGCAGAGGGCAGCCATGCCCAACAGAGGCTCAGCTTTTGAGCCTCTTTGCCCCACAAAGTGAGGGAAGGAAAAAGAGAGACAGCTAGTCCTATGTGTGTGCAGCACCTGGCAGGCACACAGACCAGGCCCACTGCTAATGATGTCCTCATCAGTGTCCTTGGCGTCTGGAGTCAGTCCTGGCCAGACTGGTGTTCACTTCTGTGGGGGAAGGAAAGAGCAGAAGTGGGCAGAGAGGTAGAAATCTCTTGTCTTCTATACTTTACAAACATATTTATGCAAATATTCCAGCACATCTATAATGAGCCAGAAGTGGATTCAGTGAAACATACCTTGGAAACATACTGCTTTGCTTCTGGCTTCCCAGGCCTCACCTGCTTTGGCCCACCGCTCTGATGGAGGCCCTGGATTCTACAGACACTCTGCCTCCCATTTGCCTTTGTCTTTGACCCATTGTCCTGCCTGGATTTCCAGCCCTCTGGTTTTGCTTATTTCATTTATTTGTACATTACTCCCATTTCTTTATGTTTCACCTTTGTGCTGATGTAGTGTGTTTCTGTAAGTTGCCTCAAATCCTTTACAGAATGAGGGCTGGGTATAAATGAAAAAATTATGTGCAAACATAAATGTAATGCCCTTGTTAGCCAGCATCACATTGTCCTGTAAGGTCTAGGTCATCTCAGTTTTGGACCTTTCCCCATCCAAGAGAAGCCTGTTGCTCTCCTCGAGATTTCAGCAACTAGTTGAAGCTCATTTTTCCCCAATCACTCCTGGTTGCATTTGTAAAGTGCCCACATATTCAAGAAAGCTTGGAATTGCACATCAGGCTTCTCTGACCAAACCTGGCACTTTCCTCTGGTTGCAGGATTTGGGAGAGTTCTCTCTTAAGTCTGGCTGCTCTCCAGAAATTTGAAGAACAACTTCTCCCCTTATAATGCCAAGCATTTCAGCTCTCTCTAGCTCTGCGTCTGAACACTGGGCCTAACTCGTTTAGTCCGGGCTCACTGCTGTGTCCAGCCAGCCCATGGGCCTGAGAGAAGATCTGAAATGTCTGGCTTTCTCTTTACTTTCTCACAACCACCCCACAGCAATATAATTCCTTCCCATATAAACTACCTCAAACCCTACCTCAAAACAGCTGTGATCTGTCTGAGTTAAAGGGACTTTTCTGCCCTCCCTCCTTTACATGAACAAGCAGCCCGCTCTCTTCTGTGGATGCCTGGGACTGGCCCTGCTCCTCCTCCTCGGGGCTGAGACAGCCTCAGAGATTGGGCAGAAGGAAGGCCAGCCTCCTGGTGCAGCTACGTCACGCTGTTCGGCAACTTCATTTTTCTTTTACCCTTTGGGTGCCACACTCAAGGAATTGATCCATAGGCAGACGCTCTCGTCAGATTCTAAGAAGGCACAGAGGCAGTGAAAGTCTGACCAAGTGTGATCCTAGGCCAGCTCCGTGGCCCAGCGGGGCCAGGAATAGAAGATGGCAAGTGGAGGCAGCGACTTCAACTGCAGGTTAGTCCTGGCCTCCTCTTCATGTCTTTCGTTTTTCGTAAGGTCGGTGTGTACATTTGTTATTTCTGTCTACCCAGCCTGCTTCTCAGATAGAAGAGATTACGCATAAATAGACAATGAAGAAATCAGAGTTTTAAAATTGCTGTGGAACTTGAGGTCACCCTGACTCGCTTCGCCTCCTTTTTGTGTAAATGCTATGCAGCTGAGCGGCACTGTTGGCACTTCCTGGTCCATGTGAGGCTGTGCTGCAAGGTTGGATGATTCCTCACACCCTCTGAAACCTCTCACTTCCCCAAGCCTCCTCTATCCCCACCCCAAAAGACAGCTCCGTCCAGAAAAGGTCTTTTTTAGAAAGATTAACATTCAAGTTGAATGTCTGACTATTGTCAAACTTTTTCAAGATTCTGGGTAGTTGGGGGCCAGTTCTGCTCAGAGACCATCTATGTGGCCCTGAGCCAGCGAGTGTCCGTGAGCACTTGATAGGTGGAAGTGAAAGTAGATGGTACCCAACGTGAACAACGTAATCAGCTGGGTGATGAGCGTTGCTTCTTCTCTTCTGGGATGTGTTACATGTCTGGTTAGAGAATGATGAAAAATGTCTTCTAAAAATTCAAGACAAATAGATCAATACATTTTTGTTGGTAAAAATTAAAGCAATATAAAAATGTGTAGAAACTCCTCTGACCTGGAACTCTGAGGTGGTGCTATTTCTTTTTTCTTTTTTTTTTTCCGGTGAGGAGAAATTGGCCCTGAGCTAACATCCGTTGCCAATCTTCCTCTTTTTGTTCCCCAAAGCCCCAGTGCATAGTTGTACATCCTGGTTGTAAGTCATTCCAGTTCCTCCACGTGGGGTGCTACCATAGCATGGCTCAATGAGGGGTGTGTAGGTCCGTGCCCAGGATCCGAACTGGTGAACCCTAGGCTGCTGAAGCGGAGTGCATGAACTTAACCATTCGGCCATGGGGATGGTCCCAGTGGGGCTATTTCTGGTGATGGCAGGGCTCCAAGAAGCCAGCAGCATTGCTACCACCAGTGGCAGCACCAGTGGCGGGTCCTCAGTGTCCACCACCTGTTGCTCCTGGCAGCTGAGAGTGCATCTCCTCCACTGCTCCCTTACCTGCTCCAAGAGATAGGAAGATGAGTGAGTGAAGCTTCAAGTCCAGCCAGCCCTTGGCCTCCAAGCAGGAAAAGGAAGGCACTGAGAAGTGAGGGTGGGGTAATGCTGGGCCTTATAGAATGAGTTAGGGTGTCTTGCCTCTGCTTGTATTTTCTGGAAGAGGTCATAGTTGAAATGGTTTGGTAGAATTCACTAGTGATACCATCTGGGTCTGGTGCTTTCTTTGTTGGAGCACTATTAATTATTGATTCAGTTCCTTTAACAGATATGGGCCTATTCAGATGATCTCTCTCTCCTCGTATGAGTTTCAGTAGTTTGTGTCTTTTAAGGAATTTGTCTGTTTCATCTTTTATCAAATTTGTAGGCATAGAGTTGTCCATAGTATTGTTTCTTTATTATCTTTTTAATGTCCAGGGGATTAATAGTGATGACCCCTCTTTCATTTCTGATATTAGTAATTCCTCTTTTTTTGTTGTTAGCTTGGCTAGAGGTTTACCAATTTTATTGATTTTATTTCAAAAAATCTTTTCATTTCATTGATTTTCTCTAATATTTTCCATTTTACTGATTTCTACTCTAAGTTTTGTGATTTCTTTTCTTCTGTTGGCATTAGGCTTACATTTCTTTTTTTTCCTCCAGTTTCCTCAGGTGGAAGCACAGATTTAGATTTTTCTTCTTTTCTGATATATGCATTTAATGCTATATATTTCCCGTGAAGCGCTGCTTTTGCCGCATCTCTTAAATTTCAATAAACTGTGTTTTCATTTAGTTCAAGATATTTTTAAATTTCTCTTGAGACTTCTTTGGTCCTAGAAGTATGTTGTTTAATCTCCAAGTATTTTGGGATTTTCCAGATGTCTTTCTGTTAGCTCTACTTTAATTCCATTGTGGTCTGAGAACATTTCTTTTTTAATCATTTCTGTCCTTTTAAGTTTGTTAGGGTGTGTTTTATAGCCCAGAATGTGGTATTTTTGGTCAGTATTCCATGTGAGCTTGAGGAGTATGTTATTTTGTTGTCGTTGAATGGAATAATCTATAAATGTCAATTAGAGCAAATTGATTGATGGTGCGGTTCAGGTCACATATATTCTTACTGACTTTCTGCCTGCTTGATCTATCAATTACTAGAAGAGTATTGAAGTCTCCAACAATAGTAGTAGATTTGTCTATTTCTCCTTGTAGTTCTATCGATTTTTATCTCATGTACTTTGATGCTGTTTTAATAGTTGCATACATATTAAGGATTGCCATGTCTTCCTGGAGAATTGACCCCTTCATCATTATGTAATGCCCCTCCTTGTCTATGACAATTCTCCTTGTTCTGAAGTCTGCTTTGCCTGAAATTAATACAGCTGCTATAGCTTCCTTTTGATTAATGTTGGCATTCCTCCATCCCTTCACTTTTAACCTATCTATGTTTTTATATTTAATGTAGCTTTGTTATAGACAACATATAGTTGACTGTTGTTTTTCACTCTGTCAATCTCTGTATTTTAATTGACGTATTTAGACCATTCATATTTAAAGTGATTATGCATGTGGTTGGGTTAATATCTACCATGTTTCTGTTTTCTATTCATTTTACTTGTCTTTGTTTCTATTTTTTCCCTTCTTTTTCTGCCTTTTTTTGGTTTTGATTGAGCATTTTATAATTCCATTTTCTCATCTCTCTTCGTATGTCAATTATACTTCTTTTAAAACATTTTTATTGGTTTCCCTAGAGTTTGCAATATATGTTTACAACTAGTTATATCCACTTTAAATTTAAATATTGTTTTGTGTTTAGTGTATGCATCTTATAACAGAATGTCACGAACTCCTCCTCCTCTGTCCTTTTGAACATGGCTGTCAGCCATTTCACTTATCCATATGCTATAATCACATAGTTTCTATTATTGCTTTGAACAAACACCTATCTCTTAGATCAATTTAGAATAGAAAACAATTTTTTAAGTTATTGTATCTACATTTATTCCTTCTCAGATGCTCTTCCTTTCTTTATGTATATTTGAGTTTCTGACCCATATCATTTTCCTTCTGCCTGAAGAACTTTTTTTTTTTTTTAGTTTTTTTGAAGATTTTATTTTTTCTTTTTCTCCCCAAAGCCCCCCAGTACATAGTTGTGTATTTTCAGTTGTGGGTCCTTCTCACTGTGGCATGTGGGATGCCACCTCAGCGTGGCCTGATGGGCAGTGCCATATCTGTGCCCAGGATTCGAACTGGCGAAACCCTGGGCGGCTGCAGTGGAGTGCATGAACTTAACCACTCAGGCATGGAGCCGGCCCCTGAAGAACTTCTTTTAACATTTCCTTCCGGGTACATCTTCTGGCAATGAATTACTTCCTTTTTGTTTGTTTGAGAAAACCTTTATTTCTCCTTCTCTTTGAAGGTTAATTTCAAAGGATATGAAAATCTAGATTAGCAGGTTTTTCCCGTCACTAAATATTTCTATCCACTTTCTTTACTTGCATGGTTTCTGATGAGATATCTGATGTAATTTTTACCCTTGTTCCTCCATAGATAAGGTCTCACCCTCCACCACCCTGGCTTCTGTTAACTTTGTCTCTTTTTCTTTGGTTTCCTGCAGTTTGAATATGAAGTGACTCAGTGTAGATTATTTGGTCTGTATCCAGTTTGGCATTGGTTGAGATTCCTGAATCTGTGATTTGTTGTCAGTTAGTAATTTTGGAAAACTTTTGGCCATTACTAGTTCAATATTTCCTCTGTTGTCTTTTGTCTTTCTTCTCCTTCTGGTATTTCTCTTACGCATCTATTTCACTTCTTGAGATTGATCCAGCATTCTTGGATATTGTATTCTGTTGTGGGGTTTTTTTTTCTCCTTATATTTTTTTCTCCTTGCATTTTAATTTGAGAAGTTTCTATTGACATGTCTTCAACTCACTGATTCTTTCCTCAGCCATGTCCAGTCTACAACGAGCCCATCAAAGGCATTCTTCATTTCTGTTGGAGTGTTTTTGATTTCTAGCATTTCCTTTTTCATTTATTTTCTTGAGTTTCCATCTTTTTGCTTACTTAGCCATCTGTTCTTGCATGTTGTCTGCTTTTTCCATTAGACCCCTTAACCTGTGAATTAGTCGTAGTTATTTTAAATCCCTATCTGATAATGTGAAAACCTGTCAAATCTGAGTCTGGTTTTGATGATTGCTTTGTCTCCTCAGACTGTGTTTTTCCTTGTCTTTTGATATACCTTATAATTTTTTTGAAAACCAGATGTGATGTTATCAGGTAACAGGAACTGAGGCACAGAAGTGTTTAATGTGAGATTTTATGTTAATTTGGCCAGGAGATGGGCCATGTTTAATGTTTCTTCTAGCTATTAGTAGCAGAAGATTCAAATTTCTCTGGTGTTCTTGTTTTTGTCTCACCTATTTCTTTTGGCTTTCCCTAAGATCTCCTTAAATAGAGCCTTCCAGCTCTTTCAGCTATAATCCTCAGTTATTATACTGGAGCCCTGTTGTTGTATTGGTAAGATGTTGGGGCGGGGGATGGGGGGGCAACATTCTTTAATCTTATGATTAAATCTCAATATTGTATTGGAACGGTGTCCCCTGACTGTGACTTTTAGAATGGTTTCTTGACTATTTCCCCTTCCCCCTTCATTTTGATAAGACAGGAAGGCTACAAGGGGCTGGATTTTGGTAATTGGGCTTCCTGAGGTCAGATAGGCTTGGGCAAAGTGTTTTCCTCTGGAGAGCAGCCCTTAGTTATGGAAAATACTTGGGGCTGTTTCAAGTTTTCTTTTCTCTTCCCCCTCTGCCGGAAGACCAAGAGAGTTTTTCTCAGCTCTTCACCATGAGTACCTGGTGGGGCTCCTGGAAGTAAAACCCACAAAAGGTTGGGGACCATCCTAAGACTGTGGTCC